TGTTTTGTCCTCACCTGTGCGAAGCAGCCAGTGGAGAACCACGGACGCCCGGCTGTAGGACGGACAGGACAGTCCGGACATGGTATCTCTGGCTCAGAAACAGGAACTACAGGATTGCAGATCGAAAGGGCTTGTTTGGCAAAGTAGGGTTAGGGGAGACTCATTTCTCAACCCGAAGGAAGCTGGCTTGTATCTTGTCACTCATAGTCGTACTCGGAGTCTTGCCCGATTGCAACAATTACTGACACGCAGCGCAAAGGCTTTCTGAAATGAATGATGCGTAACTTTCCTGACTAAATTTGCAGGCAAGTATGAATGTGGTTAAACAGTATTTCGTACTCATCAAATAGCCGCCGACCCTGCTGCTAATGTTTTAGCGGACGGTCCCCGAAGCGACATTAGTACGGAGATTTGGTGTTCATTCCCCGGGGGAACTTCCCTGCAGCTAATGACGGCATCCCAAATGGAATCAGCGAGCAATGAAGATGCACAGGCGACACGCGGCTAATTTGTGATTTGTGATGTGTTCGCGTCCCGGGATGCCCATATATCGGGATGGGCACGGCGGTTTACAGGGTGTTCCAGTCATTTAGTCTTATGTTATTTCTCTCTTCTTCTCCTTTCTCTCTCCTTCACCTCCTCCCTCTCTCTTCTTTTCTTCAGGGAAGGCTAGGCGCAGCCTCCAAAGCTAACACGCAGCGTCAAAACTGATTAACTCATGTCAAAACACGGGCGCGTTCCTGACGCTGAAAGCCCACGACCTGTTATAGCACATTGATCCGCGGAAAGCTGCACCAGGGGAGGCAGGAGCGCGAGGATTACGGCCCATCAGCGCAGACGGCCGGCTGAAATCTCCGCGCGCTCAGGAGGATACGGCTCTGGCAGACTCTGTTAGTTGTCAAACTCTGACGTGACACGGAGCGAGAACCGGTGTCAGATCCAATAGATGGGCACTGTATACGTACATACTGTTGAAAAGGGAAAGAAGGCTGTGCCAGCGCAGAGGAAGGTTATTTTTAGTTAAACAACACTGAATGATCGTGTGATTGCAAAGTTTTAACGTATCGCGTAATTCTGAATTTGCATCTTTCGGCAGCAGTTCAATTTTTGCTCAGGGGAAGACAGGATCGAATATCGGTCAGAAATCTAATATGTTCATGTTTGGCACGAAAAGGTAACAGAGGAAATAATGAATTATCAATTTCCAAGTCGAGCAAGAGATGAAACGAAGTGTTGTTAGTTTACATTTCATACTTAACCGGAAAACGAGTAACCCTACTTGGGTTAATACTTTGGACGATGGGCGTGGCGCTACTGTAAAAAGCGTCATCTAGCGGCAGCACGAAAAAGTTCAAAACGGTTAGAAAGCCCAACTTCAGCACCAAGGACAGACCCTACTATCCACGGGAATTAGCTCCAAACCGCCCCATGTACGTGTTTTCGTTGATGTTCAAGCTTTGACTTAAGAAACTGTTAATCTCTTATCTACATGGGCCGGTTAAACAAACGTACACAATACAACCAATACAATTACAAGCAGCAACATTAGATTGCACAATATGCGGTAGATACATGTGTCTGGAGCCTGTTAGATAAATACAGCCGCCATGCGGTTTGTCATTGCACTGCAACGTTTTCATTGAGCTGCTCCAGCTAGATACAACAAGGTCCCAGAGTTCAGGAATCGTGTTTGCCAGCACCTGAAACTAGTCCCTACATCAGGGAACTAAACAGCTACAGGAACGGGCAGTTGACTAATTACTTTCGCAAATAAGTCTTATATTTTCATCAAATATTTACATGTTTATGATTATATTTACCTTGGCAGAAGGAAAGCATATTGTTTTTGCTCCGATTCTTGTTCTTCTTCTCCAAATACATAGAATCAATGAACTGGACCAGATGGCAACTGGTGATGTAGGACACACCCTGTGATGTTGGGTTACATTATATAGCAGGACAATGCTGGGGGATGGTTACCACACACTAGTCTAGTATATTAATGTGTTTTGAGTAAGAATAAACAGGGTAGTAGTTTGTTGGGCTATACAATGTGAACGTTAACATTATGCAATTGACTTGCAAATGTTACCTTTCTAGTTTTATTTTGCGTTTCTCGTTTAGGCCATGTTGATTTGATTATATGGATGACATCCTCCGGGAGCCCCAAAACTGATGCGCGCGTGCGAATAAAAAAAAGTTTTGCAAAAAAAAAGTTCTTTTCATTATGAAATCTACGTGGTCATGAGGGTTGAGCAAATGGCACAGAATATGGTTTGGCGAATAATCTAGTCTTCAAGTTCATTTCTTTACAATTTCGTCTTTTTTCGTTTGATTTTGGCATTGTACGACATTGGTATCGTTTTTATTAATTATTTTTGTAACTTATGGTATATTTTTGCTCATTTTGCCACTGTTTTGTACGATTTACAGTATGGTTGAAAACTTTTTTTTTTTTGGAAACGGCCAAAAGTTCATGCGCGCGCGGATGTCATCCATATAATCAAATCAACATGGCCTTACATGGAGGTGGGTGGGTCTGTGAGCCTGGTCTATTGCATTGTTGGCTTGATAGATGTGCAGAAGACAAGGCAAGGAGTCACAAAAGATGTAATTCAAACATTATAAAAGGTCATATTTATTTCTACTATAGTACAAGTGACAAGAGGTCCTTAGTTGTATGCTACTACAGACATTTTGTATACAACAATCATTAATTAAAGAAATCTGCTTCCAAAAAAACTTGATCGACAAGGGTTTGAAGGATGGATTAAAGAAGTTATCGTTTCCAAGTATACAGTTCAGTCTTTTTTTGTTGGAAAGTCATAGTCGCCAGACGCAGACCAAGACTTCCATTTTCTGTAAATAACAACTACTTAATAACAAGTCAAAGACAGTGTTACCTATACTGGATAGGGAATAGCTACAACAAATATAAATAGAGCTGCAAAAAGACGGAATTCTGCCTCAGAATAAAAGGCTATAAATAGAAAGCATTGCTTGCAAACTCGTCTCAAAGATGCAACTTATGTTGCAAGCTTTCAGGATACAACTTAACGACTACTGAGTCACAATGGCCAGTTATTGTTATCGTTATGATTGTTAAAATATATTGGTGCCAAACTTTGTTTCTGAGAAATTGGAGTACATTTGTAGTTGATTACAACAGAGCTACTGCCAAAAGAAAACTCCAGGATTGGGTATTAGATGACAAGAAAATTAGATCATAAATGCAAAGCAATTCTCAGTCTTCTTGTCTTCATACTTGGGCTTATAAAACTGTAACATAACAATTTTGGAAATACAACCAATGGCACTGCGCGAAACGAGTTCTAAATGTGTTCATATGACACCACAAGAATGAAACATAATGTTTGATTGGTTGTAGAAAAGATCTGTTGACCATTGCTGGCCTACCGTGATACACCCAAGTCCCTTCAGTATGTTTTACCAACCTATACAAGCACCAGTCTGGGATGATAGTCTTGCTAACTCACATAGCCCACTAGTATAAGGTCATACCAGCACACTGTAGGCCATAACAAGTTAATCAGTTGTTACCTGAAACAACTCCAAACTTTTGCAATTTGGGTTTATACAAATAGGCATTTTTAAAGCAAAGTTTTGTTCAAGGCTCTGTTAAAAGCATTTTAACATTTATCTGTGAGATCCCCCCAAATTATCATTTCATGCTATATTATGCAAGAGGTGTGAACATTTTAAGTCCAGATCTGTAAGAACAGTGTATAACATTTCTGTTTTGCTTCACTTCTTTCAAAAAGTTCAAGCAACAACTAATAACTGGTCTGGCCTTAATCTAGTGTGTAACAGCTTACAGAATGTTTAATATATATTCTTCTGCCAGTAATCATTTGATATTTTCAATGCAATTAAGAGTGAAATCTGAACACTTTCTATATCATTTTGTACAGATACACCATTGTATCGTAAGATATGCTTCTGGTTTCATAAAGTCTTTTTCATGTTCACTTGCAAACTCGACATAAGGGGACAAATCTGACATCATTAAAATTATTGTCCATTTTTGTCTTAAACCAGTTTGGTGGGTATTGATAATACAGAACAGACTCAAACTGAACTAAATCACTGAATTTGTAGGTTTAGTGTTGTCAGTGGGATGGGCAGTAACCTTTCCAAGTGTAAATCTGCCCATTCAAACCAAGGAGAACAAGCTCTAGGTACACTGGCACCAGTACAACTGTAACAGATTGAAATTAGACATCTCTTCCTGGTCTGACGTCATTTCACTCAAGTTCAAACCCAAAATAACTATGATTGGCCTCCGTACATCAGATCTACCGGTATATTACAGCAATTACAGAACCATTCTAGAAGAAAGTTACACTTGCATCAAATCCTAGCAAAAAGGAATATATTACAGCAAAGTTAGGAAAATCAAGATTATAACACTATTGAGATTAGTCTTTCTCCTCCAGCCATCACAGCTATGGTAGTGAGGCTGTCTCACATCACAGGATTTTTATCACTTTCTCTCCCACCACAAAAACAGATATTGTATTCAACATCCTGTAGTCTCTTGCAAATATTCTATGCTACTTTGCTTATTCTGCAAGCCTTTGTTGATAAGTATGGCATACATATACTCCTGCCTACTAATAATAAAGACATGTGTTTTTCCTGGTAAGTCAAGACTTAGGCTTGCTCAATTCTCTTGCTAACCTCTTTCCAAAGATTGTTTGTGTCTTAACTCTACTGTAGTCAACTTTTGCACCTTGTGAAATGTGAAGAATATGGCAAGGATATTTCTGAAGACCACTTTTGTGTCAACATTGACTTTGTCATATCATATCACTTGCTGACCATATCCCGTGGAAGTTCAAAACAGCTATCTTCACGCTCTGTTGTGTTCTTTTTTAAAATGCTTGTCTTTCTTGGAGTTCTATAACTTGAATAAATACAGTTTCGATGAACCAACACTAAACATAAATTTACAAATCCTTCAAATGTGAACACAAAAGACTAAACAGGACAGAGAGTTGGTTTATTTCAGTGGTTGTGTGTCCAATCCAAAAATGATGGGTATCATTTATATATAGACCTGCCAATTAAAAAAACAACAAAATATCACTATATTCTTGGCCATATTTTGTAATGACTGGTAAAATTGCTTGTACAACTGTCATTTCTTGAACACTCTGGGAGATACAGGCTGGACATGCCTTGGTATTGGCACAAAATGGCAGAATGAAACAATATTGGCAGCAGGTTTGGAACTGAACTGTGGATTAGGTAGATAAAACCACCTTGCAGTATCTCTTACGCATTCCCCCATGGGTATGTTGGTCGGCTACGAGGGAAATTTTGACCAAAATCACTAAAAATAAGCTTCCCCAAATCAAAGATTTAAAGCAATGTACAATTTACTGTAAACATAGCAGATAATTGGACAACATGGGATTCCCAGCAAAATGCCCTCAGCTTCTTTATCTCTACAACACATGCAGCTGTCGTCGCACCCACTGCAGTTGTATCTGTATCTCTTACAATGTAGCAAGACGCATCATCATGATAGCATACTTATAACACATTTATTTCAAAACTTGCTGAAAACAAAAAGGATACTTTACAAAATCAAAGAGCTGCAGAACTAAAGAATTGCTGATTACTCTTTTTTCCCCTCGCCAACAATTTGCCGGTACTACGGTGTAGATAGAAGGGGGAGGGGGGCTACATGAAACACCAAATCTTTCTACATACAAATATGTACAAGGAACCCGTGAGGACATACAATATAGTGAATAATATTAAAAATCATTCTTGGGCCGAACAGCGTGGCACTCGACCAAGCAATCTGGCACTGTGGCATCTCAGTTCACCACCAGCGATTTTCTCTCTTCTCGTCTCACGATTGTCAACACAGCCAAAAAATCTACAATGATTGATACTTGGCAAGTTTGATTGTAAAAACCAATGCATATAAACAATGCTTTGTATTATCAGAGTTTCCTTTAATTTTGCTTTCACTGCGCATGCACCACCTTTTTGCACGAGTGCGGGTTCATACACATACACTAGAACCTTTTCTACAAACACACACCAACACTCTTACACGACCACATGAACCCACACAGTTGAGCACGGTGATAGCAAAGCAATACTCTACTGATTCCACAAGAATCAGTATTGTTTCCGCACGCTGGTTATGACAGTAAGGATGCCACGACTGCCAGGCTCCTGAGTGGAGTGCCACGCTGAGGGGCCACATATCTCTAACTCTATATTACATCTGGTGACTGTCAAAGCTCCATGTCCTGTGCTTCGTCCTCTGAAAAGTCACTCATGGAGCTTTCTGACTCGCTGCTCGAATCTCCGCCCTCCTGCTCTCTTAGTGCTTCTTCCGTGCCGTACTTCTTCACATAATCTGTGAGAACACAAGACAGAGAACTTAGTTAAAATCAAGAGATGTCATCTCATACATCTTCTAACAATTAGAGAGAGAAAGAGAGAGGGGGAAGAGGGTGAAATGTCAAAGTTTAAGGCCCCTGAAACATGAAACATGTCTGGGTCTGTATATGATCAACCAGTCTTCTGTATTGCCTGTACCAGAGAGGGCCACTGGTTTCACCCATTTTTTTCTATTCTAACTAATAGTAGGCCTTTACAAATATGTCAAGTACAGAACTATACTCATTAAGGGGACTTATTTACCCTGTCCTGGTGCCATGCATAACATCATGGTTTCGTCCATAATCCAATCAAAGCCATAAACTGCGAGTTGATTGGCTGCTGTGTCATTATCAAGGAATAACAAACACTTATAAACCAATCACTTGCCTACTTACAACATGGGTGTCAATAAAATAAATTTGACAAGCACTTAATAGACCGAACCTATAGTGATGTTCTGCTGAAGTGCTATGCACAATACATTATGGATTACTGGCAGGTGCAATATATTCCGCCAACATGCTGGTCTATTGTTGCCTTTACCTTTAACTTTCTTCTTGTACTCCTCAGGTTTGTGGAGGTACATGGCCGCTGCGTCCCCGTTCAGGGGGTCGATAGGGTTGGGGTACGTCAGTAACTGTGGTAGGAACGACTCAAAGATGTTGGAAAGGTCTGCAACAGATGGAAAACACAACATGAGCTAGAGTAAGACATAGTTATTTGGATACATTTATTATGTAAATCTTAAGGATGTTTTTAAACATTTATTCTATTTATATGCATATGAATTCCAATTGAACTTCAAATTTAAAAACTTGAAGTTAAATTGGAATTCAAATGCATATCCTTGTCAATGGTCAGTTCCACCACACCCACACTGAAAACATTACAAAAAATAGAACATTTTTCCTTGTTTAAAGGCCTCAGGGTAAGACCCAGAGCTGTGCAGTTGACCCTGAGACAGGTGACTCACCATACAACGCTGTCCATGCCTGGTTGATCACGTCTAGACACACTGTACCCGACCTGGAACAGCAGAAAACAGTCAGGTCACTACTGCTCGACTAACATACAATGGCTTGTGGAACAATGGTCATGTCTAACACCTAAAGTCTTTTATCTCAATTCTTAAGTGTGTGATTGTGTACTTCTACCAGTAGTAGTACAGATGAATGATTAGTGTTCTAGGCAAAATTTCTTATAATTGAATCAACAAGGACTCTGGCTGTTATGCATGTAATTATGAGCAAAGCTGTACTTACGCCTCGTCAATGTTTGGGTGGAATATCTTGTTCATGAATCCTGTACAAACAGATGAAAAATACAACAAATTGATGAGATTAGTTCTTAAGAAACTGTTGACAAGTTCTGACAGGTGTCAATGGTCCGAATGTTGGACTAAAAAGTTAGAGCCTTGTTCTGTTGTGACACCTGATACCTACCCAAACAAACCAGGGCAGGGTGAGAGGGGAACACCTCAATACCACAGGACACCTGAGTCAATTAGGTCTGTCTACACAGCTCACCTCTCCCAGACAATAGCAGGAGAAACAGGAGATAAAGACATGTAAGAATACAGTGATAGCATTTCCCCACCTGTCATCTGTATCTGTACAAATATCACCAAAAAGGAAGCTACAATCGTCACAAACACTACAATAGTAACATTCAGAGATAGACTATCTATTTAGTATATATCAACTTTTTTTCTACGTCAATTGTATATTTTCCTTCATTGATAGTTTTTCACAATGACTATAAACAGCAGGTTCTATAGGAAGCCATTACTTGGTTAACACCTTTAAAAGGGTGTCTTTAATCACTTGGGACACAAAACCCAGCACTGTATCACTGGCATAACAGTTGGAACATAATCCTTGTTCCTCACAAAGGTGGTGGAAAAACCCAAACACACGGAGAACTCCTGACGACAGCAGAACAATGTCGGAGCACAGAGCCACACACAGACTGGACGTGTGGTAGTGACTATTGCCATGGCAACCATTCAACATGTCGGTCGTTCTCCTTCAATTAACACAGCATTAATGATTCCAAATCATGTTTAACTGAACCATAATGATAAACTATAAGCTATATCAGTTGTGTGTATGAAAAAGCATTAAAATGTCATATCTTGTGTGAGGATATGTGGTCATACATGCACAAAAAGATTTTGGAATGCAGCCATTAGTTATCACAAACTATAGATAATTGTAAGGCAATGTAAGCAGACTCAAAGATACCCCATTCTGCAGTGTCATATTTCCTCTGCAATGTTTGAACATAACTTATCTATAATATTGCTGACCAGGTTGTTGCCCAAGGTTGACATCAGGATTCAAATACCCAGTTTACATTTAGAGCCATATATATATATATAGTACCTTTTAGAAAAGCATTTTAATTTTGAAGTACATTAGTCTGTTGCAGATTACATTTTATGATTATCTAATTTCTCGGCACTATTAGTAGTGAGTATTACGTTTCAGAGATTTTTTAAACTGTTGTTACTGACTGACTGCACTTTGAACACTAAGCTAGTCCTTTTGTGTGTATATACAACTAGCCTGCCAAATCTCATTGGCCTCCTTCACTCTCAGTAGACTTGGGTTTGGGGTCAATATCTACAGAATCAGGAAAAGGCCAGGCTAGTCTGTTCTCTGGGGGTCAGCCTGGTGACCTGACATGTCCTGAAATCACAGCCCCCCAGTGGCAGACGTGGTCCCCTAACAGGGCCAAGGCCTCGGGACTGACAGCTGGCAAACCAACCATAATCACCAATTACAGACAACCCAGGACGTCTCTCTCGGTCCAGGGATTCAAGCAAGATTTAATTTAGATGTTTGACATCGTATACATCATGTCATGTGACGTTGATGATAACATTTTTCTATCACATGTATAAGAGATTTGATATGCAAGTGGCCTTGTTAAGACCTTCAATCATTGTTCAAATTTGTTCATAAAGTGCAGAATGCCATATGTTTTGTACCAGGACAAGGGAGGATCAAATATGTCAGATCTGTATGTCTGTTTGAAACTTTCCAGCCTAGACAGAACAATATACTAGTACATCATTTAAATGAACAACAACAGTCCAATCAATACACAATGGTGCAATATAACATTTCACATATTTTACAGTAGACAATTTACTTGTTGTGAATGGGGGAGTGTCAACACATATGATTTCCATGATGAGTGTTACACCAGGAAGATAGAACTTCTTCATATTATCATAATGACTCTCAGACTGATTAACATGGCAAAATTCACTTTGGCATTCATTTTCCTAGGCTAATGCTCTTTTCTTTACAACTTTTGTTTCTAAGTAACACTAACAGACATTTCTAAAAACAATGGTCAAACATGTTCACTGGGTAAATGATTGACAAAGGACTACAGTAACTGTACCTGTAACCAAGTCATTGCTGGCAAGACTGCAGTGCCTTGTCATATAATGGAGACACATGACATTGACCAGGACAGTAACTGTTGTAAATTCCACACTTAATAGCCCCCTGGGCCAGCCAAAAAGGAGCGTTATCACCAACAAGCCCAGTGTACTTATCCAAGTATTTTGATACATGCCATATATTGTCATAATGAAGGAGACAGGTGGTCACCTAAACTTTGCAGGTGATGATGTATTGATTGTGTGTAGACTTTGTTATCCAGCTGCAGTAATGTACATGTATCCATACGTACCTATTGATGGTGACTTGAACGGATACTTCTCTGGAAGGTCTACTCGAACTTTCCAAACCCCGCCTTCATACGGCGCTGAGGAGGGCAGAAAAACAGATGAGTCGATTATTCAGACACTGTTGCAGACTCTGCCAAGCTTTCTTTGTTCTTATAATGTCCAGTAACTTCTCTGATAGCTAATGCTGAGTTCTGATTGTGTTCACAACCTGGCTTATTTTACAGTTAATTTACGGATGCCTGAGAATTACTCCGAGTACATTCAAAACTTGGCAAGCTATCAGAGCTTGGCCAGCAGCTACCATAAAACTCAGTAATTAAAAAAAAAAGTCTGGAAAGTCTGTAACAAAGGCTATCAGCCATTTAAGTAACATACGGATTATTGTCAGAAAACATTGGCAGACAGTGCCACTTCCGACCTTCAGAGCTGTCCTTAATTTAAATGTCTACATATATTTACAGGTCTATTACTGTCGCAGCACATCTTCAGGAATGATTTAATGTTTAACACATGAATTACACAATCCCTTTCACTGTCCCATTAGCCAATCTTTAACCAAAGCACGTAATGATATAACTATTATTATACTAGGAATTATAAGGGATACTTGTTGTACTCACTTCCTTGTGGTCCGTAGAATTTTACTACAAATTCGTTAAGTCCCCCTAGAATGGTCACCTCATGCTTGCTCTCAATGCTGGAAAGGGGCTCATTAAGGAAAGATGTTGTACAGTGTACAGGTTGTAAAGTAGGAGCTGGTATACAATGGAGCACATATACAGGTGATTAACACAGGACTGAGCAGGTCATTATCCATTCACTGTGGTACTTGTAAAACCTAGCTCCATCTGAATAGCATACAGTCAATCTGCACAACTTACAAAAAATTTACATAGGCTCTACCTGCATGGAATGAATGCTGCGTCATGGCTCTACTAATGGTTCCTTTAGAATAGACTTGCAGATTTAGTAAATCTGGATTATGTATGAAAGATTATTTCAACATCAAAGGTGTTATCAGTATCATGTGATTTTGTTGTGATTGAAGCAAGCACGTTATGGCAACTGGCCAAAAATGTTGTTTTTGTTTTGTCTCTTGCATGACCTCTTGATAATGATGATCTACAAAACCACTTCCTGGAGGCCGAAAAAGAGAGCAACACTTTGACCAGAATTCTGATATGATTACTAGATCAACTTGTTACCTTTGTGTATAGATTAGAGCTGTTGTTTTTGGTGTGTCTATTTGCTTGCGTGTCTGTAGTTATGCCACATGCTAGGTGTGATATGTCTTCAATGTCAGAGGCCAATGTTACTGTGCGGTAAATTTTGAAAACTGCAAAATACCATTTAAAAGGAATTCTTAATATTCATGTTAGCATTAGCGTATACAGCTATGTGCCGTGTGGGACTTTTAATCTTAATTTAGTCAATATACTATTGACAGCAATGCAGTCTTAGTACTTAAACTGTTGACTCTTATTACCTGCACCATTGATTATGTATTCTGTAAATTAGTAGCAAGCCCCACATGTCAAAATGGTTGATTCAGCATTTACCCAAGAGACACTCACTTTTCCAAAACCTACTTTATCATATGGTCGCTATGTTGGGAGTCAAAGAGTTCGTGTATGCTATATTTATATAGCCCATTTTTATCCCTTATGCTTCATATGAACCAGACCAGAACCTTATTTGTCCTTTGTCCTTGGCTCTGCTTGCCAGATATTATGTCATATATTACATAGTTCAAAGTTCAAATCTACTCATTACTTGTTGTGCATGTGGTGTTCCAACAGTGAAATAGAGAAAAGTGTTGCATAACATCTAAAATCTAAATCTATAGTACAACATGTACCAAATATTGCTTCTGAATTCTCAGATGACTGATGTACTCCACTGTAAATCTATTTCTTTTCACGGGGATTTGATTTCACAGTAGGGGGGTGGAGGTTAATTTTGCAGTCTTTCAAATTTGTGGTTAGAACAGTACAAAAATTACACAAAACACTTGTTTGTAGTGTCATGATTTCACAGTAAGAGGTCACCGTGAAAACAAAATCATCACAAATATTTCATAACTCACAGTATATTGTGCATGGAAATGACATCTATTGTTCATACTTACATTTTCTGCATTACAAATGCTACGTACCTCTGCTACAAATCTATACTTTATTCTTAATCCATAGGGATCAGATATGAAAGTGGGATTTAAGTGCTGCATAATTGTAAAGCAGTCTGCATTCTGCCCTGCACATAATGATGACTGCGTCAAAAACACCTCAACGTCATTCTCTGGCTAGATGATAAAAAAGGAGGTTATATGTGAATGTTCAACTGTATGTTCAGAAACACCTGGCATCAGCCTGGCTGCCTGGGTGACCTGTGTAGTGCACGTTGAAATTTCAATAAAATAATGAAGTAAAATAAAATAAAGAGTAACAAGGGGTTCATTTATTAACTATAGTATAAAGCTTAATTCCTGTGCAAACAACCTCCAGTCATTTATTCACGATCTAGTAAGGGAGTAGATTATCAATGACAATAACATGCACATTTACCAATTACACCAGGTCCTCTTTTCCTTTTTCAAATCTAATTATTCTGATCATTCAGTGATGTTTGAGAATGGAATATCCATTGGTTGACACACTACTGTTTGTTCATTGCATTAGTGCTTGGCAACCTAGGAACATCATGACTTTGCATTTTTACTATAATTATAGTACAACGAGAATGCAATGATGTAACAGGTTAAGTAGTGATAGCATAATTCATGCTGTGAAATGGTGCTGCATGATAGAAAATTATAAATATGACTGGAACAAGTTTCAATTGTCAGACTTCACTTGATTGAACATATATAGATCAATCAAGGTAATAAAACATCCAACTAGCTTGGGGATAACAGAAAACAAAAGATGACATTGTCTATCAATATAATGGTATCATCTGGGTATGATTGTTGCATTATTGTCTGCTTTCAAAGACAATTTCACTGTTTATGAAAAGAACAACAGGTCCTCTTAGCATTATGACCTATTATCATATAGCCGGGTGACGTTGACCGATCAGAAGGCTCCATTCCACATTCTTTATGTCGCCGTAATGTCACAAATAGAGTCAAAATCGGGTATTTATTCATCCCAATCCATACATTAAACAAAATGAATAATCACCCGCATATGACCTCAGGTGACCCAATAGAACACGGCTCTACTTCTAAAAAATCCAAAAATAACTTGAGTTGTGTTCCAATGACTCCCACAAGAACACCTGTTCCCTGCCTGTGACCCAGATAGAAGGCCATAGAACGTGAACCCCCCAGTGACCTCAGGTGACTCCAGATGGAACAAATATTCTATGTTCTATTCAGCATGTGCAAGGGGTACATTGTGTCACTCTTCACTGCATCAGTTTGGATAGGCTATCGTGTAAGCTATATGATAATAGTGTTAATGGCCCGCCCTTTCTCGGTGAATATGGTGTGATAAAGCCTTGTCAGTTGCTATAACCACCTAATAAAGCCACCTCGTTCGCTGCGCTCACTTGGTGGCTTTATTCGGTGGTTATAGCAACTGACAAGGCTTTATCACACCATATTAACCTCGGGACGGGACATTAACCCTTAATTCATACACAATCTGTTCTAGAATGTGACAATGTTTATGTCATTAATAGTTTCCCATATTATAGTCACTCATATGGTCTTTACTTCCTGTTAGGAGATTGTACCTTTATAGTCAGGGGGGCATATAATATGTAAGTTAGCATTATTTCCTGATATGAAGGCGAACTGGCCAATTAGCAAATGCTGATAGTATGATGTACTTGTGTTTAAGCAAAATACTCTTATTACTTAAATTAGCTGGTCATTAAAACTTTCCCATGTTCTGGACTAACATATTTCACCACTGTGACCAATTATGCTATCATAATTATATACAACTTTTAATGGTTGACCCTTCTAGATGGCAGCAAACTCAAATGATTCTTCTCTTATCATCCTCAAATGCTGAAACCTTGGTGGTAGATCACTATCAAATGCTATCATACATCTTCAGAAGTTTAGTTGTTTGCTCTTCAGTTTTTAACACAATCAAAATCTGATAACCAAGAAGCTAAATTGACATGGCCTTATCGGCCAATCAGTGGAGATATCTCCAACCAATGAACTGCTCCCACCTAACACAGAGTAACCTGGTTTGACTATGGTTCACCTGTTACCATATCCACACTATGTCAATGACAAGTGTTGTACGTTAATAAGTCATAACGTTATGTATACAATAAATCAAAACAACATTAATAATGAGAGCAGCATTGTGACAGTTATGTTTCTGACAATGAGGTGAAAGTAATTAACAAGAGTGCATCAGACATTTGGCTATATAATTCATTATATGATTATGGCAATAGGAAACACACAAGCATCAGGTTGGGGGAGGGGGGCAAAAGACATACTTGAGGTTTAAAGTCCACAAGTATGATAATTAGTGACTCTTTGAAAGACAGCAAGAAGGAGATCTGAAACATGTAGTTCTCGTCATGAATACTAAGCAAACAGCATAAAAGAACGTTTCAGCTGCCTATAAGGTAATCTTTTTTCTAGACAACCCATATGATAGCCACTCCTCCAGGAAAGATGTGCAAGACAAGCCTGTTATTGTTGTTAACCTGCTGAGGGAAATCTTTGCATCTATATGACCACAAGCCCTAATGCAAGGCAAGACCCTGATGGCCTGAAGTACAGAATTCCTGTACATCAAGTCTTCCCCTTCTCTTCTTTACAGCGAGGATATCTAATCCAGATACACTGATATCTTAATTTATCTGGAAATATATTTGTTGGATATTAGAGAATTATTCATCACATTTTATGAGGATAAACCTCATTTCCAAGCATCCATTATCAATGATTATGGCCAAACCCATCCAATTTCACAGGTACCTGTCCAAATCTCCTGTTCACAGGCCCTGGGGACATCCCTGTTTATCAATTACTGAGGGAATTCTTCATGTAGGGATTCTGGGAGGAAGGGTCAGTTGTTTGTTTACATGGCCGTGCAGTCAGGCATATCCAGCATGCCCAGTCTTGTAAAAGGTGTTTTGGTCTCACACATAGGCTGAATTGGACAATGGCCTGACCTGTACACATTAGGTCATCATTAAATATTCAACATCAGATGTAGCAACTACTGAAGCTTGGAACTTTCACGGTGGTTTTACTTTGGCAGTGACCTCTCCACTGTGAATTCATAACACTGGAATATGTTTCTATTGTATGACTACTGCACTACAGAATTGTTCCAACCACAATGTTAGAGCACTGTGAAAACATCTCTTTCCCTCCTACCATGAAATTATGCCTATGAGTGAAGAGTATAATATCAGACATATCACTGCTGCATTATAATGATGTTGGCAGATTCATACAAATATTAATACCTTTGAGGCCTACAAGGAAAGCAGTCTGCAATATTGATTGAATATTACCATCATCATGAGCTGGGACTGAAATTTTCCACATGACACTGGGAGCAATGAAAACACCCCAGGGACTGATGAGTGCTTGAGCAGACACTGTCACGCCCACATCTCTCAAACCCTGTCCACTTACCCATACATCCTTCTCATGCAAAATATGATTTGCATTCAGTTTGCATGGTATATATACTAACCATTAACATAACAATTTACAACATATGTACGAGCAGCCATTTCGAATAGTGTAGAAGGGCAAACGCATGCATGTGCGAACTTGTCAACATAAGAAGAAAAAGATCAAGTGTGCATATGGAATTATCACTATATGCACAGACCAATTTTTCTCCTCCACTGCCCAACTGTGCGAGAAGCATAATGAAGCCATGCACCAGAAATAAAAGGAAACCGTCTGGTGAGACTACATCCCCAAATGAACATCCTGGAAATGCTGTCAGAAGGGTTAGCTGGCTCTAACAAGGTGGCTATGTTCCAGACCGTGAAAACAGTCATTATTTATAAGTTATGCCCAGGGAGCGACTGGACAAAAGAGATAGTGCCCTGCACGGAAAATCAATCCCCCTCCATTGCTGAGCTGGCTTTGTGGTTCCACAACCAACCCCGGCAGAGGCAAATGATGTTTCCAAGGCGCATTGTTCAGCTGTTCACTCTACACCTCCCAAAAACCTTGGCTACAGCAACCAGCCCCCCAAAACACCCTTTATTTTTCCCGGTGCAGAAACTTGCTAAAACGGAAGTAGTCTAGATGTTGGAGATTAGGCATGTCCTGTACCGGTCTGCCTGCATCTATGGTACCAGGAAGACGTTCTATTTTGGGGTCGGCTGGTAAATGTAGTCTGCTCGCGCTGAGCCGCGCCGCCCGGCCCCTGATATCAGCTGCTCGATTATGGTTTCGTCATTGTTTACAAACGATTTCCTGACAGACGAGGCCGTTCCACCTCGCCGTAAACAGGTCCGGTGGGAAGACAGGGTGGAATTGCGCAACTAGATCACAAGAACAACAGGACAGGACGAAAATCGAAATGGCTTTCCGTCGCTCCCCAAACTTTCAACCATCGCATCGAACAGCTGTTGACACTTCGGGTCATCCGGGGATGACAAATCCCTCCTACCCTGGGCCCTCCTAAATTTCCACCTCCAAAATTCGTCCAAATCCACCGGAATTTCCCCCCTTTCGACACAAAAGGATACAGTTTGATAACGTCGGTGTCCATCCGCCTCTTGCCAGGACTCGGCGACGACATTTTGGTCGGTTTTCAGCTGAAAAACTTCATAAATTCGAGGGAAAACAGCCTAAAATTCCAGGCCCTCCGAAGAACTGACGACGAATGAAAACAAAAGGAACCTACTGTTTAGGTGACGTCACAAACTATCACGTGACTATCTCGCCGTATCCAACTTTGTCGTTGGGGATGACCCTGTAATATGGCTTCAATATTTTATCTATAAATATACAATCAGTCCAATTATTGCTATAGTTAACTCGATTACTCATAGTTTAAATATATTTTATTTCTTTCAATGGTTTGTGGTTGATAATATACTCATTTGTTTATTTTAGTAATTTCACAAACCCCTCAAAATTCCAATATTCTGAGGACTATTCTATTTTCTGCCTGAGGGGGTTTACTGCGAAGTATGATTCATTAGGTGTCTCAAGTCACGGCATATCCGTTAAAGATAGGCGCGTCTGCGGATGTATCACATTTCATCAAAAAACACCCTCTAGTTCAAATTCACTTTCAATCTCAACTCCAGAAATTTCACCAAATTTATGGAAATATGACCACGGACGGTCTAAAGGTCACTAGGGGTCAACCAGACGGGTCAACCAAAATGGCGGAGACGGATTGGGACAACAAATACTCCCCGATTTCGGTGAGAAAATTCGTGCGGTTAGACTCCCCAACCAAAACTGGCGCAGGTGAGTGATTTCATTTTACAGTTTTACGTGCACACCGTCAATTTCAGGTGGTATCATGTCGATTTTGACGAGTTGATCGCCAAAGTTTTCGACGGAAATTTGCATACAGCGGGCCTAGCATCGTGCTATCCGGTTCGCAGGATAAACAAAAGAAGTTAGATCCGCGCCTTTCAGTACTGTTTTGGTCACTTTGATACAGACATCAACTGTTCACACGATTATCGTCTGTTTTCAAGAATGTAGAAATTACGAATCAGTTTGATCAGCGCGCGCTGGTGCCCGCTTTATGTTTACCCGTAAATGTTTATCACTCTGTTGATCGCAGCTGTTTTGCATGACGTTCGGCCGGGTCCCGTTTTGGCATGTAATCAGCTTTTACAGAGGGTCAGAGAGATAGATAGCTGCCCTGCTAGAGTCTCCCTCGTTACGCAATGAGTCTGACGACTGTGTCTTTTCCAGGGACGTTGTTTCCCGCGGCCCGGAGCGGCCACCGGTGCGTGGCGGACAACGGGAGTTTGTATGTGTACGGCGGGTATAATCCCGACTTCGACGAGAACAATGGGACTGTCAATATGTATTATCCATTGTTTCGTGAACTCTGGAGGTATAGCTTTTCCTCAAATGCATGGACTAAACTGTCAACGGGAGGAAATTTTCCAACGGAGCTAGCCTCTATGTCGGGTAAGTGGTGTTCTCTTTCTTTTTGAAAATTGGAGGCCGGAAACCTACTGCACCTACCCATGGGTTGCGTCACTTCTTGCATGCAAATTAGATGCCTTAGGCAACATCTTATTTACCATCTGACTTACTGGAGTGTGGTCATTCATTACAAATTTGCCTGAAGGCATGAATGAGGATTCTTCCTTTGTTATCCCAACCTTCGTCATGGAATTTTTAAGTGTACTGTCCTTGGTCTTGTCCTCATCATGTAAATGTACAACCAATCACCTTGCAGGATTTTTTAAAGGATTTTGGCGCTCGCCAACGGGCATATCAGTCACGTCCTGTATCAGAACAGACAGGAAGATGAAATAGAGATTTATAGTGTGCAGTATAAAACGCTAGTCGACCACCTACATACCTGAACTACAGGTGATTTTGAGAACCTATTCTATCTGTAATTAGTGTGTGAATGATATCGCACAAGACCCAAAGCTTGTTTTACAAGTACATGTACATTTGTGTGGTTAGTAAAGGAGTAATCTGACCAAGTGTTCTGGATAATTACTAGTGATATCCTCTTGCCAAAAGCAATGGGCTTAATTATAGCACTTGTCAGACTGAGTAAAACAAGCTTCTTAGGCCCAATTTAGACTAGAAACGCTTAAGGGGTTTTGGCCAGGGAAACGTTTCGGAACGGTTAACCGTTCCCGGTCTAAAGAGGAAAAAACGGTTTGTTATGGGTTTTCGCGGACCGTTTCCGAAAACCACCTCCATCGTGGTTTTCGACCGTTTCAGAACCCTTCAGCGGGGGGCCCGAAACGCTTTTTGCTAGGTCTAAAGACAAAGGGTTTCTTGAAACGGTAAACCAGGTCACATGTCATATGCTGATCACATGCTAATAAGCCCGCGCACGTCCATTATCTGGTAGATTCGCGCCATATTTGATTGTGTCAATTTTCGCCATTTTATAATGTATTTCTCGAATTTTCGTCATCCTTTACGTCTGGAGGGATGGCAGAAGGCCAGGGGAGGGTCTGGACCCAAGATGAGACCCGCTGCTTGATCATCTTGTGGGCCGATCAAACTATACAATCCCGCTTGGAGACCTCGCGTAATAGGGAGGGCATACAGATGCTTGTGGACGGGCTGGCGGCTGAGGGGTATTTACGCACCACAAAGCAGGTTCAGGCGAAGTTCAAGGCCCTGAAACACAAGTATCGTAAGGCCAATGAGGCAAACCGTAGAAGTGGCTCGGGGAGGTCATCATAGGTCACTGTGGGTCAGAAACATCCTGCGCCACGGGCGGCCCGAAACACTTCCGCCTCTGTGTCTAAAGACGAACCGTTTTCTGTGGCGAAACGTTTCGTACCGTTTCGAAACGGTATACCGTTTCTAGTCTAAATCGGGCCTTAGAAACCCTGCTGGTGACGTCAGGCTTTCTCAGCATATCATATCCGCCACCAAACCATTTGTTTTAATAAGAGAGCATTTTTGGTGCCAAATTTATGGGGCTCAGTCTCATAATACTGAATGTTTTCGGAGAATATGTGAAATAAGAACATGTGTATGTCCTAACTGAGGACAAAGTGAATGTTGAGTGGAAGTACCTTTTACAAGCACTGTGTACTGTGTAGCCAGGAAGTTGTGACCATTTCAAGTTTTCAACCTATTATGCTTTCACAAGCCATGCCACCTGACAACATCTTTGTTTACAAAGTTACCTTTACTACACTAATAAAGGTAATGGCTTTCAGGCAATAACAATTAGGATAGACAGTCACTGACTCCACATTTCCAACACAGTGTACTCTGTGTTCTCTTCATTGCTATAAAATGTCTTTACTAATAGCCAACACTCCAGTCAGGATATCCACTACATGTATGAGGTATGGAACAAGACTTGAAGACTTATTCACAAAGGAAAAAAATGTGACCACAGGATTACCAGGCAAGATGATTTTAGGCAGTAAGTAGTAGGCAGTAATGATGATTTACTGGTTTGATAATAGGATGATCCTGGAGTGTCCTGATTACAGTCTGACTCTGACAAGGTTTGTCCACCTGAAGTGATAATCCTCTCATCCATAGTAATTTACTGAAGTCTGCAAAATTCCAAGTTGCTGTCTGGTGTCCAGTTTAGTGCTGATGCAAGCATGATTGACTACTAAGTAAACACTTCCCTGACTATACTCGTAGTCTTCCAGGGCCTCTGATAGAGCATTCGTCTCATGTACTGCAGCCTTATTTTGAACAATCACGACTTCCTTTGATGCCAGAACCTTTTCTGCAGTCTGCCTAGTTCTTTCCCAAGGTTTCAAAGAGCCAGTCTGTCCTGTGTTGTGCCGACCCTGTATTGATAGATGTGCTGACTCAGGCCGTTCATGTGAGTGTTAAGTCCCAGTGGCTCCGCTGGGGTCAGGCCACAGCCGTCCTTCAGGCTCCAGCCACCTTTTGAACGTTAAGTCAACACTGTATAAAGAACGAATTAGTGGTGGGTCCTGGCTGGCTGGATCTGTAAAGGTGCCCTTTCTCACAGGGTCAGACAAGGTTGGCCAAACGTGAAGTCGGAGGCAAAGAAAAGGTGGCAGTGCAGCTGCAACCCCAGTCTCTCAACCCCCCTCCCGCTCTAATGACTGGACCATTCTCCATGGTTCTCCCAGATGTGAGGGTATTTGTCATGTCCCTGGGGGGGGGGGGCTCGCTGCCAAACTTCAAGGCCAGGTCAGGTCTGTTTGGAAAACACTGCAAGCATGACGTCATGAGAACATGAGAGGTTGCAGTGTACTGTAAAATATGGTCAAGGTTGAACACTATACACAAACACAATAGCTGCATGTATTGCTGTGTTTTTTATCATACTAGTAATGTTGTCCTATGATACTGATGAACTAAAACCATAGGTATTGCACAGCACATATTATGTTCTGGCAAGGACATTATTCAAGTGATAGAATGTCCTTGGTTCTGGTAACTCCATTGTAGTGTAGGACAGGAACATGTAGTTCAGTTGAATGCATGTACAAGTACTTAGCTTTAGTAGCAAACAGGCAGTAGAAATTAGGATGTGTTGTGGTTTGCCTACAATACAACGTTCACCTCAATTTTTCTTTTAAAAAGTACTTCAAGATCTTAAGATTTTACAATTGAGATACCATCTAACAAAGGCAGAAGCTGGGGCCATGATTCTCTAGAGACAATAGCAGGAAAAGAGGACCTGATCATTGCTTCTGGCTATTCTCTGTTGATTGTCTTCCACATTTATCCTCATTTATATTACTAAAAAATGTGACTCTATTTATGGGCCACTATTAGACAGCAGATTTTTATTATACCACCGGCACAGTATATAAATACATGTATCAGTCTTTATGATTTGATTTACAGACAAATGCAAAACATCTGCATTCAATATAATGACAGACTATACATGTAGCATAGTTCTGGTTGCAGAATGCCCCTATTGTTACAGAATTTATGATACTTAAATTTAATGTAGCAGGAAACCTAGAAAATTAGGTATCCATTTTTATGTTATTAACAGAATAAATGATGACAGTATGCATGACAGGTAACAGGTGTTAGAAACCTCATTTCGATTTAGATAAAATTCTAAAAATGTTGCCAAACTGCATCAGCTATAATTATAGTAGAGCATCAGTACAAAGTCATTGTAATGGTAGAGTGAGGACCATCTATAGTGTATGTGGAGGAATGTAATAGATGTAATCACCCTCCTGAGGTACTTTGTTGTCCTTTGACATGATTAATGACAGGAGAGGTGAAAGGTCAGCCATTATGGTCCTCCATTTGTCTGAAATAAACACCAGCATCTAACTGGTCTGGCACAGTTAGCCTCCACCAGCGGGCAAGAAATTTGGCTCAAAAGTGCGGAATCAGAAAATTTCATTTCAAAACTCCCTGTGTTGGCCACGCAGACTGCCCTGGCAAATTAGTCTCCATATTTGGCTAAATTTTACTATTTTTCAGCCAGCATTATGAGCATAGTTAATCTGTTGTAGCCTCATGGTTACCAGTCCTATTTAAGCTCCCGAGTCTAATATCCTCTCTGCAAAATCCTAAGATATAGGCTCAGGAGCTAAAATAGGACTGGTAACCAGGCTAAGTCTGGTGCATCCCCAGGAGATCTGTGTCTGTGCAGGTGGGTCCATCCCTGCAGCTGTGCACACATGCATCAGGTGCTGGTTGATCTGGGGTCCACTCCGCAGCTGTAGGCTGGGCTGGTGGTCTTACTCCACTGTGCTGTTCATGATATTCTTTGAATAAATGTGTTTGATTTTGCTACAGTCTCCATTTTGAGTATATCATCTTCAGTGTTTACATTCACTCACTCAGAACCTTTGATGTGCCATTGCGATGTCTAAATCAGTACCATGTAAATGGGTCCTAGTGGTGTCAGCTAGCACAGTCTGGCAGTGAAACAACAACAGATAGTGAAAAATTATATAGAGTTATGCCATGAAGAATTACATGGAGTTATGCCACGAAGAATTACATGGAATTATGCTGTGAAGAATTACATGGAGTTATGCCATGAAGAATTACATGGAGTTATGCCATGAAGAATTACATGGAGCTATGCCATGAAAAATTACATGGAGGTATGCCATGTAATCAGCTATGTTATGTGCATGTGCCAAGTCCTCTTACGTAAATCGGTGAAGTATAAATCCTGTGGTTGTATTGGCTTTCTCCTTGTGAATAACAATGATTTAGTTAAAAATTTCTCAAGACTTAAAGCATCACTTATGGAGCTTGCACGCTTATCCAGTATACCAATCTTTAGAATTTTTTAAGGCTAGCTTTCGTCCTTGGCCGTACAGGGGCAAATGACAGTAATGTTACACCATGAGGTTGGCTCTATTTTGAGTATGTAGTATGCAAGGCCGAGGCGAGTCCCAGAATATAGAGCTTCAAATGCAAGACAGTTGGCTCTGAGGTCATAAGGGATAATGATGCCAAGGCAGGGTTGTACTATGTATATAATCTTTACATGTATGAATATGATAGCAGTGGTGTGTCACGCTGAAGGGTGGTTATATAGATCTACATATGGGTGTAACAAAATTAAAATCAACAATTGTTAATTACTCTTAGTACTAGTAAGTAATGGTAACCAAGACAAAGCTGTTGTGTGCATCTTAGATGTTCAATCATCTTTTTAATTGCATCAAATTGTATTTGTCGGTCCATCAACAAGACTTATTAAGATTTATTTTGTTTACCTCCAAATCAATATACAGTTAACGTAACTTATGTTAACTTTAATCATTTTTAAGTTTAAATTTGAATTGTTTTAAAGAATAATCTATAACCCCCTAAGACAATGAATTTGGTACAGTACAGATGCTAGAGCATCTACAACTGTTAGTCGATTCTTATACTTGACTTTCATAAGAGCACCTGGCTTTACCCTGAGTTATTCCCCTGAGATCGGCACACTCTTCAGTGTATTAGTGTAAGAGCTGTAAATGTCATTAACAAGAGTTGTTCATACAAGATCACCTGCCTGTGCTGCCGTGTTACCTAATGTTACAGACGTGCTGCTCATCACACGGCTCAATCTAATCAACTAAGTGCCTCTCCGGTTTGATCCGGTTTGAGAGATTCAGGAGACGCTGGCTGATTTTTTATGGGGTCAAGGGTCAAAATCTGGCATTTCCCATCATAAAAGCCAGGGAGGCGGCAAGGGAACTTGCCTTTTTCTTTGATGTCATGAAATAAGACGTGATTCAGTTGTCTTTAAGTTAACTTGTCAAGGAGCTGCAAAAAAACAATAAAGGTTAATCTGATGTGTTACCCTTCTTTGATACAGTTAAAACTGCCCAAAAGGTGGTCACCTGGATGCATACTTATTAGGCAGGATGTTAATGCTTGAGTTAATTGGAAAAATTAGCTAAAAGGACCACCAAAAACTTGAAAAAGTGATCACATTGGCCAGGTGGCCCTTCTGTAGAATTGGTTACTTGGAGTGTTACTGTATTTTGCAGAATGTAGGCTTTGTTTTAATACACAGTGTTTTTTTTCCACAGTGCTCCTACATGGTAAGAACCTGGTGGTGTTTGGTGGAACAGGCGTGCCGTTCGGGGACACCAACAGTAACCGTATCAGTGTGTGCAATCTGGAGAGGAAAGAGTGGTGTGAGGTCAGCACATCAGGGGAACTACCTCAGGCCATATATGGGCAGGTAAGCCCACACAACACGGCACAATTTGCCAACATGAACTGCTCCTGTGGAAAACACAGATTTCCTGGATGTTTGGTCAAAGTTGCATCAGAATTTTGGCTCAGAGTTGATATTGTTTCTAACATTTGAAAACTAGATGTGGGATTTCTAAGTGCGTAATCATGATCTTAAACAAGATACTCTGCCAAAATACATTACGGGTATTGTGCAGGCACACTACGGTCTGCTGATGTGCTCTGCAACACCAGGACCTTCTCTCAGATCTCATTACATGCTTTGAGATGTGGGTATTTTGGGTAATTCAGCAGGCAGACAAAATCATCATTATGTTATATTGTTTGCATTATTTAGCCATAGTGCCTAGCCTGGTATCCAGCCTTGTTAGCTTTAGTCCGCTACCCAAGATCCGCTCCCCGCCAACGGCGGGGAGCGGATCTTGGGTAGCGGACTAAAGCTAACAAGGCTGGATACCAGGCTACATAGTGCCCAGATCTCCCAGCATATGTAATGGAATCTGAGACAAGGTCTATAGTCCTGGAGAAGGTCTAGGTTGAACAATCTATGAATACAGAACGTCAGACGTCATGCATAAAAACAGTACTCTTACAACATAGGAAAGGAACATTAGAATTTTGTATCGAACATCAATAAGTAGTACATTTTTGTATTAATAATGTTTTTGTGTGATCATACCCAGGCTATGGTGACGTGTAACGGTTTCCTGTACGTGTTTGGAGGGACGACAGGATTCGAGTACAACTCAGACCTGCACAGGTTACACCTGAAGGACTGTGTGTGGGAGAAACTAGAGGCACATAAACCACCATCAGGAAGGTCAGCGTCTCAAACTTACTAGGACAAATAATTTCACTTTATGTATATGTACCACAGAATAAAAACATGAAAATGCAAACATTTGATTGACATGCTTTCTCATTGGTTGAACTGCTAACTGCTGTCCTCTCATTGGTTGAAAATACTAACTGTCGTCCTCTCATTGGTTGAACTGCTAATTGTGGTGGATTTTCAGCACCGGTCTGCTGTCCTTGGTACTGATCAGCCTTCTTTGCTTTATGTTTCAGATATCGACATGAAGTTGCCTATGATGACAGTAGATTGTACGTGTTGGGAGGGGGCACCTCTTGGGTCTGCTACTCATTCGACCAGGTAATGGTCTAATAGGTCTCTGACCAGAAATTCCAGGGCTCCAAATACTTTTTCTGCAACCAGTGCAGGTAATATTGAAAATCACCTGCACCAGATAAGTTTTACTGGCACCACTCCAAGAAGTATGTGACTTTCTGAAATAGAGCCAAGAGAACACAAAACATACCCTTGTTTGATTTGCAAGACACTGGCTTTAAATTGCTGTGAAGATGTATTGTTTTGGTTTAGAGCACCCTCACATTGTTTTCCTGTGTTAATTTCAAGGTGCTCTGTAGCAAAGCAGTTTAATTTCATGGTGTGTTCTGTCTCAAAGTAGTTGCTGCTACATCAGCTACATGTAGATCAAGTGTCACTTTTCTGAAGCATTGTGTTGAAAAGGGTCTACTGTTGAGATGTTTAGGTGTAAGAATGTTATGTTATCAAAGTGGAGACACAAGAAAGAGTGTTAACATTACTTTTGGATAGAATGTCGGCAGATCATACTGCGCCTGTGTAAAACCCGTAATGCACTTTTGCAGAACCTTTAAGGTTGTAACGGAGTATTTAGGGATGATATCTTATCTATACTTTTCAGTTCACATTGACCAAACATCCAACGAAAACCGGGTTTCACACAGGCCCAGTACGTTCTGCCTGACATGTTCCCTTGTGTCTAATACTTTTGCTATGTTTATTTACCAGATCCCAGCCTATAATTTCTTGACCCGTCACTGGGAGGAGATGCCATGCAGACCTTCCCCACGCCCCAGGGAGAGACCACAGGACAACACTACTGGTACACGACATTACATTTATTTTTTTTTACATTTGCTAAGAAGTGTATGTGTGTTTGTGTGTGTCCATCTGTCTGTAAATGCAATAACTTGAGAAGGCTTAGATGAATACTCTTAATATTTGGTATCTGGGTAGGTCTTGATGAGACCTCAAAATGATAAGATTTTGTCCCCACCCCCCATGGCACCTTCTTATGGCACAACAGTTGAATTTTCAGTTTTGATATCTCGTGTTCTGGATACGCTACAATCATGATTTTTGCAGGCTACTCTCTTTTGCCAGTTATCAGCTGAATTGCAAGGAGCTTACTATTATTGCGGCTGAATTGCAATGGTCTGTAATGGCAGCTTTTCCGCGCTCTAATATGACAAAAGTACCCGTGCAATTTTCCTGTCTGTTCCGTGCATGTTTTGTTAAATTTTTTTGTATGCTTGTTTGAGAAATCTTTCTTTGAAATTTTCACTTTAGAAAATAGTATTGCTTTGTGTTAAGACTGCTCTGGGGCCAGATGTTTTCATATATGTGGTTGTGAATAATGAAAGAAGCTGAAAGATCTCACTGATGACAATTTTTCCCCAAAGGCCACTCCTGGCCATAAAGTCATCAGCTGACCGCGTTAGGAAAACGACATCCTTTCATGCATGATTCATGTGGCTTTAGGACTTACCGGCTTTTGCTGGGACTTTCAAATCTAATCTGGTAGTAGTTTCTTAAATACATAATCCAACACTGGCAACAACAATTCAGTCAAAGTCAAGGATTCGTGTATCATTTCACCAAAAATATAGGAACATCACAAACCATGTCGATTTTTTGGTAATTTGTGTATCGATTGAGAAAATAGGCATAAAGGGCTTTTTTCAAGGGCAAAAGCCTGCTAGGGATTCGAACCCAGAACCTTTAGAGGTGAACAACCCTAATCACAAGACCACCTTGCCACCTATTACTGAAGGGAACTGATGTAAGAAAAACATTTGTGTAGTGCTTCAGTCAGTAATCCTGATGTACTCTGTTAGTATGGAATTTCCGCATGAAGCACAGCGATCCCTTATTGCAGTTGGTAGCCATGTATGATCCCTGGGGATAAAGACAGACTACAGCCACCTGACACAGATCTAATGGACTCATAATTACACTGCCACTCACCGGATACGTCGAGACTTGGGTGTCACTAATTTTGTAACCTTATTCCTTTGTTTTCAAAACTTGGCTCAGGACAACAACAGGGCAATATATACAGTCAGGACATATCAAGGAAAATCCAATGTACAAAATGTATGTGCTCACCAGATATAAACATAGGGTTTTGATTAATGTTACAACTTACAATACTTGCATCTGATGTCAACACAGACAGTTAAGAACTTGATGCTTGTAGAACAAAATTTTAATGCATGTTTGTGTGTGCAGGTACCCTAACCTGTATGATTATTGTTTGTTATTCAGGCTATCCATCTGCAAGAAGATGCCACAGCTGTGTTCAGTATGGAAATGGTGAGCAATGTTGCTATGTATATTGAAATTTCCCCTAACCACAGAAGGGATGTTGGTCATGAATCAGGAAATAATTGCTGTACAATAATCTGGTTCACAGTTTGAACTGGGCATGCATTGTGATGCATTGTGGGTAATATGCCAAAGTTGATGACCCCAGAGTCATAAACAAACATATCTGGACATGGAGAAAGCTTTGTCTAGAAAATACATGTATCTGTTGACAAATTAGGGGCCATCACGCTTGACCTTAGCTGTGAAGCAGCTTATAGTATACAAACTCAGAAGCCCAGCTACATGCAGTTTTTTCCCCCATAAGAGAAAGTGCTTCAGTCTGTATTGTTGTATAACTGCATCTGCCAAATGTCTGTGTTCCCTCTCAGCTGTGTACATCTGCGGGGGTTACAACGGCTGGCAGATATTTGATGACATCTGGAAGCTGGCGCTGGACACCATGCAGTGGACTAAACTGCCGGCCACCATGCCTGAACCCGCGTACTTCCATGCAGCTGCCATCACACCAGTAAGTACTGTTATTATTTTTCATGGGGACTTAATTTTGCAGTAAAAGCAAGGAAAGGAGGTTTTAGGGTGTTTTAACTTTGCAGTCTTCAGATGCTGCATTAGAAAAGATATCGTCTGAATTCTGATGCAACATTGATCCAACATCCAACTAAAACCAAAAAAAAAAAATGCAGGTTTCGTGCAGGTGCAGTACGTTCTGCTGACGTGCTGGTTCAACACTGGAAGCACAGAGGCTCTGAGTGTCATGTGACCACTAAGCACAAACATGGCTCTTCAGTCCTGTTCAGTGCGTGCTTCAGCATGAAAACCTTCAACTTAATCTGGTCAATGGCCTATACTTCCTTTAGGCTGCCCTCTTGGGGGCCTGCTCAAGCATGGGCATGCATTTTCTCTATAGGTCATTGCCTTTGTCAGAAGTCTATGCGATCGTTTTGTGTATGGTGGGGGAGACTGTGGATTTATGCGGCATAACTCTTGAATTGGGTAGATGATGATCAAGTTAGAAAATAAGCCCCCAACACTCTTCCCTCATTTTCTAGTGTGTAGGACTACAGGGAGAATAGGAACTATATGTGCTAATTGTTGATCCAAATAAACTTAAACTTCAACTCTTCCAGGCTGGCTGTATGTACATCCACGGCGGTGTGGTCAGCATCGAGGAAAACCGCCGGACGTCTTCCCTGTACAGAATCTGGCTGGTCCTGCCCAGTCTACTGGAGCTCACCTGGCAGCGGGTCAACGACCTCATCCCCAACCTCCATAAGATGTCCCAGGAATCCCTGCACTCTATAGGACTGCCACCCCAGCTCATGGACAGGCTCAAACAATAGAGATAGTGGTTCACCTGGAAATACTTGTCTGTCAGGGCCATACCAATTTCATTTGTTGGCTCTTGGATCTACCCACTTTATTTCCTCTGATTTGCCAAAGAAAGGAAAAAGAGAAACATGTACATTCATGTTCTGAATTTCAGAATTAACTCTAAAATGCTCATCTTTTGGGACTAACAGTTGAAGAAAGTCCTTGTCTTTGTAGTTATTGTCATGTTTTGGATTTAATGCATTAATTTGGTAAAAAAATTGAAAATTCATTGTATGATTTATAAGCCAGCGAAGTATAGACTTTGTGGCTCCTATGGTAGTGTGTGCGTAGGTCTGGATTTTTTGTGTTCCTACAAAAATCCGAGAACCAAGAAATGAAATTGGTGTGGCCTAAAACAAGTTTTAGCTTCATTGTTTAATGTCTTCATGATGTTGTCAATCCATAGAGCATGTGAAAAATGTAGATAATAATCACTTGTGGCACTACAGTTATGAAATGTGATTCATGTACTGACAAATTAAAATCAAACGTGTAAAGAAGTATACATGCATGTCTACAGCTGCTGTCTATAGTGTATATTACAGAGGACTCTGCATAAATGTGCTTACTTCCTTTGCTTTCTTGACGTGTATCTTTACTTCCAGGTATGGAAGTACTGTTTTGGGTGGCCAAGCTGTGGCTTTAGTTTGTGTGTCTGTTTTTCCAGACAGAGTAGGTTAACAGCACATGGGTGACGTTTGACAGGGAGAATAACAGATCAAAAGGTCCCACACAGGAAATGGGGTGAACTTAGGGTAGGTTGACAGCACAAAGGGGAAGATTGGCAGGCAGGAGGCCAAAGGGTCAGACAAGGGTGACTCGGGGTGAACTTGAGGGTCATAAAAACCCCAACTACTTCCGGCAAATCTGAGTTCTGTTCTCAACTTGAAAGCAAAGCCTTGCTTTTTAAGTTCCATTTAGTTGGCATAGAGTTAGACTTTGCTATTGGAAACTGCAGATATATGCTTTCCTGTACCTTCTATCTCTAATACTTCTATCTCTGATACCATTTCGTATACAATGTTTGTAACATTTTTTATTTACTGCCACTTCGACTTGCCACAAAGTTCTGTTCAGATTCAGTAATGTGATTTCATCAGGGTCTTGGAGTCCTCTCAGGCTAATCTGTGCTGGTCACGTTATAGGGAATTAAACTGAATCAATTGTTCTCAGAAAGGATTGACATTGCCTTGTACCCAACAGCATTAACACTTAGTCTAGTAGTGATAATCCCTGGTTACCAGCTGGAACCTGGCAAGCTAACAGGAGGAGGCATGTCTAGACTACGGCCTAGAGACAACTCATTACATCTTCACTGTAAAGAAATCTTAATCCAATTCAACTCAACCCCAAATTATTACAATAGATAACAAAGTTGTCCCTGTCTGTAATGTACTTTATTCTGTGTCACAGTTGAAAGAAGGGGAAACATAACAAAGAACAATTTACAAAGCAGGTGGTAGCCATGAAAATACATAACTGTCTGCATATTCAGCTCATTATTTTTTTTAGTTTTTAGTTTAGTGTAATTAGCACTTCATGTTACATCCATCTACATTGCACACATGGGCCTATGTCTCCCATGTCAAACAATGTGTACCATGGTGCGCCTACAATATATAATATTGTAATATGGTAAGTGAGCAAAACATTAAATATCTGGAAGTGATTAAGTGTTACTAGCACAGACGAGTTACTACAACCAGCTTGGCAAATTATGTCGACGTTGCCAGGTCATAGTATTTTGCTGAATGGTAACATATGATTTTAACTGAGCTCTTAGATAAATTTTGTTTTTCATAAGTTATTTGATCCACCGAGTGTGAAAATTAGTTATTCTGTAATGCATGAATGAATGTTTTCATGCAGTTCTTATGTTAGCGAACAATGATGTCTGAAATCAGGTAACTTAGTATGTAATGTATTGTTAAATACTAGTAAGGATAAATAATCATTTTGACCACAAGATAATTACCAAGACTGTGAAGAATGACTTAACAAGCTTTACTGGTGCTTGTCTGCTGGCTGGCTGTATGCTTCTACATTCAATTTTGATTTTGTAAAAAGATAAACCTGAACTGTACAAAGTTGTGCACCATCTTATAAAGTACAGAAGAGTGTGACTGTGTGAGTGAGGAGTTTATGGTAACCTTGCAACTAGAGAAGGAAGCTGAATATAGTCAATCAGAAATATATGCTCCATATAAACACATTTTACATTTAGTCCATGCCTTGAGGCCTTTTTTCTTTGGAGTGATGTTGAAATGTTCTGGAATTCTTTCACAAACATGTCATCTTAGTTATTATGGTTTATGCGTGTAGTCAAAAGTTTTCCCCCCTCCCCTTTGTGACATTAACCGGTCAGTTTGTGACTATTTTTAGTCAAAGAGATACTGTATTGTACTTTTATCATCATTTGTGAGTTTCTTTAGGGGTAACATCACAAACAGCAAAATCAGTAACACAGCATTATGTAGTAGTTATGAGATTAAAAAAAAAACTGCTCTAGACTTGTACATACTGGTATATACTCAAGATATCATGTTAGGGATTTGATGTTTGAGAATAGACTCTCATTTCTTGTCCTGATGCTTTTCATGGTATACAAAGCAGAATATATGAATATTCTGTATGTTAAAGTATTTAAGTGGAAAGAATGATATGATGTACAGGGACTGAAAAGATATGCAGCTATTTCAGTAAAACATTTATCTTGTCATATGAAACTAACAAAAATGTTGTGTGTCTTCAGTACCTAGAAAGATTTGAAGTTTCTAGTTGTAATGTGGCATCTTACTTTTCATCTTACCGTTGATTTTGTTCAAAGGAATTATTTCACATATAGAGCTTATATGTGTGGCAGTCAAGATAGAATCTACAGTATGCTGTATTTTAGTGTTGAAACTCTGGAATAAATTATTTCATACCCCATCATACTTGTGTTACAGTCTTTAAAAAATGGTCAGGAGGGTAGATATTTGACAGGCGCATGGAAAGTGACTAATGTGAACTTCAGATTCAGCAGATGAATCATCACTTATAGACTTAAGGTAGACAGTGATCACTGTCCAAGTACTGGAAATTACAAATTTCCGACTTTTCCCCCCACAGACATATTTGGGGGGGGGGAACAAAGTAATATTCCCCTTGCACAAACATTTGAAAAGTAAAAAGGACATCCCAGCAAGATCTGGCCATCCATCCTGTATTCATTTTATCCATAACAGAATGGTACTATAGTGTTGAACAGATCAAATGACATAAACCATGTCCAGGACATTCCCAGTGTGGTACACTTTAATTTCATAATGTACATGTATTCACTGTGATAATGAAGATTGACACCTAAGATACATAATGGGCAAGACAATCGTTTTTCACAGTTGGAACTTTGAGCAACACTCAGATAGGTATCTCTGTAGATACAGGTTTCCAGCAACTTACTTGCAGCACAGGTATCTATACTATACTATCAAACCAGTGCTTAATAAACAAAGGTATCAAGAAATGCATCTTTATGTAAATAAATACTGATTATTTTATAGAACTCATAAAGTATTGTCTTACATAGAAATCAAGATAAACAATTTCATAGACTTTTTATTTGTGATTGGCCAGGAAGATGTCCTTTTATCTGACCAAATCATGTACTTAAAATTAAAAATGTACACTCAAAGTGTCTTGAACGAGATTTGCACTTTTGCAATAATGGCGACCATAACACATCTTAACATGATGGTTCCTTAGATACATGACTGTACACTGAGAGTGCAGCATCTGGTGGTAGAAGACAGCAGCAGCTACTTATGTCCAATGCTATTTACAAATAATGACAGCGTCAGACTTTACTCTGGTCCAAGGCAGTGTTGAGAGAATGGTTGCGGTACATTCCACACACTCCGAGATGCTGTCAACGAGACGAAAACACAATCAGTTACTAAGTTCAATGCACAATTATTCTGACAGTATGTCAACATAAAATTATTTATAAACACATGACGGTCAGGTGGAATGGACCAAGGAGGTCCATTGAATCTCCTTGAATAGACAGGTCCTGACTTCCCATCACAAATAGCCAAACATTACGAGAGTGGCTGCATGTCCATTAAATACTGTGGGGTTTTTTTTTCTACGTATTGGCAGAGGTGGGTCATGAAGCTATGGAATTCTGTATCAGCATGATGCCATCTTGTTGGTAAATCTCATTTAAAAGGTATTAGTTCTTCTGCAAATACTAGTACCACTAGAATTTGCTTCAATCTGTATTGCTTTTTCAGTTTCCATAGCTGAGGTAAGGCACAACAATTTTTCCAGATACAAATGTGGTGAAATACCATATGATACAGAAACTGAAGAGTGCCATTAGTCATTCAGAGACCATAGCACATTTCCACTTCTATAGTCTGTGCAAGGTAATGCACTTACCTCAGAGAATTTCTGTGACTTAGCATGGAAAGTCTGAGGCATGTCCTCGACTGTGGGCACCCTGCCTCCATACGTGTCATTAGTCGTTCTGTACATGGGGTTCTGGGGCTTCACAGGGGTTTCTCTGTACCACTCTGTGGAGGAAAAGAATCACATAGAGTTAAGCCCCTGTACCACTGAGCCTTCAGGCCACGCATACCTTTCTAAATGAATCTGTGCAATCAAATTCAAACACTCCTCTTTAAAGCATACATTACTCTAGAAAGCTGGGCATTCCTAAATTTTTAAGTGTATATTCGTCAAGAAAGTGGACATTCCTCAACTTTCAGGATTCAAGTGTGGAGGTCGCCTGCTTTCAAGAGGAATGTCCTCTTAAAAGTCCAGGGATGTACCACACAACACATACCTCCTAATTCCTTTGGTGTTCTGATTCTCTCCATACATGAGAAGATCGGGTTCCCAGGATTCGCACATGGAAGGTCTCTCACTGGGAGAATTTCTGCATATACAATAAAGCAATAAACATTCTTTATTGGGCATGTAATTACTAGCTAGGTATTTGTTTTCATGATCCAGAAACACACAGCTGTGTCGAGAGACGTTTTGTGTCGTGTTGAACTATCTGCCAGGAACTATCGACTTAATCTTTGTTTCGTTGGGTAATGCCAGTTTCAGTCAAATTAGAATAGCGACATGTCTTACAGAAATGACATGGATGATGCTGTTGTATGTTATGGGTATTCTTGTATAAGATGCCTGATGAAACCATTGAAGTCAATTGAAAGATCTCGACACAGAGTGGTGCATTATTTGTAACTTTTAAGACCAATATTACATACATACAAGAGGTTCGATCTGTTCTGGCCAAATAACAGCTGTTACAAACTATGTTAGTAAACAACAGATATTTCACACGCCCACCTTTGTTTTCCGTGACCATGATCGGTTCTGTTGCGATCTTAGCTTGTTCAGCACCAGAACCCACCGCTTGCTCACCGTTGGCGGCCATCGTTAGCTTAGAAACACACAGAAAAGGCAAAAACACGCACACACTGAATGAAGGACAAACTCCCTTTGCACCCACTTCCCGGTTTACATGCGTTGCTATGGTGAGGGGCGTGGCGTTACCGTGGTAAATACCGCACTGCATGGTGGGAGCTCATTTTCTCGGTAATTAAAGATTAGGTAACTTGTCTTAGAACACTACTTATTAGTAAAAAGGAATTATAATAGAACGATTTAAAAACCTAACCCATTCAATTCTTGATTTTTATTCCCGGTAAATATTTTACAAGGTCATAACAAGTAGGTTATGGGTCATAGGTAATCAGGTCATTGACCGCCGGAACCTCCAGCAGTGTAAATAAATCCGTATGGTTCACGTTGCACTGTTACGTGCCAGGCTCCCTTGTCCTACTTTTCTTTAGGCCTAATCGCTAACAATGTGCATTTATAATGAGCATGCCATACTAGTGTTGCGCCGTAGCTCATAACAGCAGATGCATATGAACGGTGTCGTAAGATCTTGGCTGCTCGTGTGTTTCACTTCTCAGTCGCGAAATGTCATTCCGTTTTCGGCCGTCCCACGAGAGATGACGGGTTGTTATTGAAATCAGCGGGTTTTGGTATTGATTCTGAGCCGCAACAACCTGCCGCCCGCCCGCCGGTAGATGACGTTAGACCGTCTGCAACTACAGGGGCTGGTGCAGTCAGAGCGTCATTTTCTGCCGTTTTAAATCATAATTTTGTGTATGCGAACAGCCATGGCGCTTGTCAATTACAACCAAACAGCGTCAAACGTGACGACTTTATTGCAACCAGAACAGGTGAGAAATATTTTGTAATTCACTGTTGTATTAGATTTTAGGATATGATATTATGGATCTTGAGGAGAGAGTGTGGTGCTAATGCCATCACCTCATGTTTTATTGTAGCCAATTTTATGACCGATTCTTAATAGCTATTCATATCATATTAACATTTATCTAGGTAAACAGCTCAGGTATTGTAACCCAAATGTGGTATTTAATTGGAATTGACATTATTTTCCCTGAAGCTGAAATTTGGATGCAGGTGTACATCAGCTAACATGGCGGGTGGTACATGGAACAATGAAGCAATATATCACCATGCATTATGGTATTACCTGCACAACAGTGATCACTGTGCAATGTGACAGCCATGTACTGGGGCCGTTTGATTTTGAAAAACTGACTTTCTTTTTAAGGGTTGACATTTAAGAAAAAGGTTCAAGGATTGTTCTTACTGTCCCACCTGCCATTAACAGGTGCGGAGACAAGAGATGCACCTGCAATCATTCTTATTTTGATTTCTATTGGTTAAGACATTCATTTGGCACTATTTTTTTCTCCTGGAATCTTTTGAATTTGCATGTGCAGCAAATCAGCAACCAATGTCGGCATTACAATATCTTTTTATCTCATCACAATATCTTTTTTATACATAGAAAAGTGAACAAATATGGTTCTCCTTTTCAGATTGATATATTATCATTTCAGTTTGTTTCACCTTTTTTGTTCTGGTTTCTTTTGAATTTGCATATGCAGCAAATTAGCAGCCAATATGTGCTTGACAGCACTATTGAAAAATCAATAGCATTTAACAGGTTCTCCTTTTCACAATGACGAATTACTCACCTCAGACAGTTTATTTGAAAGCCTGCAACAGAAAATCTAGAGTCAAGGGTTTTTAAAAGCTGGTATTGGGAATTGTTAAAATGTCTTACACTTAGATTCAGTAACATTTGAATTACAACAGGGTTTGAAAGCTGAATCTACCCACAAGGATCAACATCTTGGCAGTTACTATACCCAAAATTAGAATATGACAGTTTTGCAGTTTAGCATTTTCTCACCCTTGCTGGGAATTACCACCCAATATGGTTTCTAATAACAGCTATTATATATGTCAAATTATCTATAATATCTTATCTATCGTTGGCAGACATACATATATAATGTACACGTGTTAGAGGACGACAACTCAAGCTAAGTTTGTGAGACAATCGGCTTCAGTTAAGACACACGCTGGATGGTACACAGGCACATATATGATGTGCACGTGTAAAGAAAAACAACTGCATCCATGGTGTACTGGCCAGCAATTCCATCCTTCTCACTGCATTTAATAGTGCTCTCCAGCCATCACCATTAAGTCACTGCTTATGGTCAATACAAATGGCTGGTAACTTCCCCTCCAACAACAGGAAGGGGAACTACCTGCTTGGCCAGACTTTAAATGCAGCAGGAAGGATGGATGGCCATATACCAGGGGCATATGTGATTTAAGTGAATTCTAGATTAGATGTTTAGGCGCTGCAGATATACTAGAGTAGAATATTCAACACAGCTGACCATGACATGCTGTTTCCTTTTCCCCATCAGATGCAGACTATCACCTACATTGACATGGTAACCACCAGTCTCAGGTGAGGCTTCATCCAGTATCTAGTCTGGACTGAGTTTGTAGAGCTCTTTGTGTAGTTAGGTTTTAATGATGATAATTATTGAGATCATTTTCTGAGCATTTTTTGTGTTATAAACAGTTTTCAATGTAGAGATTGTTTTGCCACCAAAGTGTCTTGCAAAGTGTGTTTTTAGGGCATTGCCACACCCTTTGTATAAGTCATCATGATTGGTCAGCTTTCCTGTGAACAAACAGTTTGATCTAGACCACCTTCAACTTTATGGCTTAGCCCTCAAAGTCTGGGACACCTGTAGTTTAATGGGAGGAAAGATTAGGAGTGAAGTGTATTAAACTTTTCTAAATGCACTTTGTCTCCAACATCTATTCCAGAGACATCTACAAACTTAAAGATGACCACACTGTCCTTTAAAATCTTTTTCCTCTGTTTTTTTCAAATACAAATGCTGTCTTTTTCAATGGAGTTCCTCTCTGTCCTATCTTATAGTCAGAGAACGTGATAGTCTTTCCTCCCATTCTGTATGGAGAAGCATTGGCTACTTAATGTTTGCATATACTGATTAGACTTTATCTCAGACAAACATGTGATTTTAGGACAGCGCAGTCTGCACGTGTGGTCAAACGTGGGTCAACACCTCTGTACAACGGTCACTCACCCTCACAAATTACTGGGAATAAAAATTACAATGTCTACTATGATGTCATAAACACTAGACTTTGATCAATGACCAAAGCTCATAACTTCACCTTACCTCACCTGTTCCAATGTCAGTCATGGCCATTCACCCAGTTACCCAGGGATGACGTTACACTTAGCAACTTTTGATATTAGAGGGTCCCAAAGCTAGACCCAATAAGTCATACCGGTATCACAGTTTCTTAATTCAGCAAAGTATTTCTGTTGAATTGTTACTTTTACACCATCTAATGTCTTAACCTACATTCAAAAAGTTTTGAGTAAAAATGTTTTAAAATCAGTCAAAAAGAGAAAGCTATCTTTTAAGAGAATCAAAGTCGATAGTTTGTATAATTAGGGATTTAAGCCCCTACCAATAAACTTCCTAAGAAATATTAGACTAATCAATTTTTTTATAGTCCTATAACTTTGCCTCCTGAGCCCTGTTGCTTGCTGTAGTATTTTTTATTTTATAGTCCTTGTGTAGATTTTGCAGTGCACCATTTTAAATACTTATTCCCGGTATGTTTCCTCTCTGCAGTATCGTCGGTGCTAGCTCCGTCATAATTTATTCCTTCTGCAAGAGAAAGGTTTGCCAACCAGAGGTAAGACTTGTTACAAACATCTGCCAAATCAGCACAAAAAGTTCCCATGCTTTTTGCACCGTGGCATCTACATGATGAGACATGACATGACCTATATGTACATTGAGTTGTTTAAATATTGACTAAGCCTCAGCAACAGCAGGGCAGACGCGTGCAGTGGTCAGGTGACAACAAAAGATTATGAACAGAAACTTAAGAAATTTTTACAAACCACAAATCATATAGTAGTTAACTAAAACAAGAAGAAAAATGAGCCAGTAAAAGCTAAAAAGAAGTTTCTTTTTGGTAAAGTTATGGTACATGCACTTGGCTGCAAAGGTGTTGAATGTCAGTGACTTTTGAGGTCATTGCACTTCAAATGTTCAAAGGTTATTGCACCCTTAGGTGGAAACTGTATGAATGCTTTAGAGACCCTTATGTAAGAAGGTTGATATACAGGGCAGTATATAATCCAGCATAACTCAGTTGCAGTGGCAGGGAAACAAATTATGTGTTACAGTTCATTCATGGGAAAGAAAGACAAGTGCAACTTAAGTGTCAATGGCCTTTCTTAGTTAGGTGCTTGTACTCTCACTCAGTAAACAAGGATAGACCAATGAAACACAAGCACACAAGGTCAATGTCTCCCTTGTAAGGTAGTTAAACTCCCAGTTACCTAGCAAAGGCCTTATATAATACTAGTACATCAATTCCAATTGCCTAATCTCAAGTATTGATTAAAAAGACTGGACTTTGAAATTAACCTGTTATTGTATGCAATGTACAGTTCCTTGAATAAGTATTATACATGTTTTTGGTTTTTCATCCCCTACTTAAACTATTGATTCATGCCAAAACTGTATAAACATCTTAAAATATACTTCTACCTCTAGTCGTCCTAACTATTTCATCTTTAATGTTGCTATATTCACACAGGTCCATCCATTGTTCCATCTGGCCTGTGCAGACTTGCTGGCATCACTGTTCTTGTTGTTAGGCGTCATTATTTTCAACCTCTCTTATGTTACAATGGAGTTATATGAGCAGCACTGTCACTACTTCTCAGCATTTGCCTCTGTAAGTACCAACTGCATTTCTATTACATGCATATGTCAAGGTAAATCTCAAGGGGAAGGGATGTAATAAGAATAAAAATTTGTTATATATTTGTCAGTTGTAGATTATATATTCCTGGTGTGGGTTGATAAAACCGTACAGTCCGCTCTTACTCAGGTTGTACTTATTCATTGTACAAGACTGGTGTTTTACACCTGAAGGTGGTTTACTGTTAATGTAACAAACAAACAAAAACAAACTCATGGAGGTCCCTATTAACTTTTATCATTCAGCCCCTTGTCCAGCTGCCTTGGGCATTTGTATCTTCTCCCCTGAGACATAAGTCCTGATTTCAGGACCTGTTTTCCAAGGCATAACCTTTTCAGCACCATGGACAGCGCAAACAACACATGCTGCTGCTGCAGCTGCTACTGCGGTTCTTTTGTTTGGAATTTAAAGATTCTGATTGATTTTTCCAGAGTTTCTTTGTGACGACATTCCTGCTGACCATCACCTACTCCCTGGAGGTGTTCCTGAGAATGAGAGACCGAGCCATCAGGTCAAGCACCAGACAACCGGTCAGTACTCAACTTCAGGGGCAAAATCTGTTACCGGGTACAAGTTTGTTTGAAGGAGAACCAGTTAGGTTATCACAAATCTGAAAATGTCCTAGAATTCTTCTAAAGCTCTTGAGGCTCATTAAGTTCTAAGAATGGAAGTGCTAAGATTACTGATCGTGAATTAGCAATAGTTTGAAGTGTATATGCTCCATAGTGCTACAGGTACGGTACATTTTGGTCCCTGCTAGTTTTGGCTTTAGAAGTATTTGAAAAGCTATTCTTTTTCATCTTGTTGATTGAAGAACTTGTGTGATTGTTTGCATGTCAGTTGGAATGATCTATGTCAATGTTACAATGAATGGTCTCAAATCAGTGTTGTTGTGTTTCCCACACAGGGTACAGGCAACTTCCCTCTAATCTACCTGCTGTACATTATCTCATGGTACGTATGTTGTAGTCACCTGGCATAAAAAAAGTTGACTAGAATGCCTTAGAGGCTTGCTTAGTATATTGTAGTATTGCAGTATACCAAGCGCTTGCAATATTGTGTCAGTACCTTCCTCCCAGACACAACATCATTTATACTTGTTCATCGCAAGCAAATTTTAGATATGATGCAATATAAAAGTCAGACTAATGTGATCTAACATGTGTGTTTCCCAGGCTGGGCCCTCTCCTGGTGCAGTCCACCATCCTCATCACCACCAGCTCAGAACCACCGTTCTGGGATGTCATCCCCTCACCTAACTCATCTCTGGTCACCTGTACAAGGTAGGAACACGCTTCTTAAGTCAGTACACAATCTGATCTGATCAAATAATGTATCATAAGAAGTAGAGTGAAGACTTTCCATACTCTGCAGAGTGGCTGTCAAAAGAGTGGATTCATTTGTCAGCTATCTGCAATCTATCACACCATCACCATCCCTCAGTAAGACAAGGAGCCACATAGTTCCCGTGGTGTCATAGATGTTGGGTAGCTTGAGTAATGAATCCACTCTACTTTATACTGTATCAAAATATAGACACAAGATTCTGGTAAGTCAAAAAAAAGTATTTTTGATGTTTTTAAACTTAATTTATATCAGTACAGGACAAAAAAAAAGGACTAAACTCCTAGCAACTTGTGAAGTTCTTGTGTTGAAAATAACTGTCACATACCGGTATGTCATATCAATATGTACTTCCCTCCCCAGATGTTTACCACTCTACCATTTCAAGAATGATGAGTGCATGCCGGTGAGTTCCAGCAGTTACTGGAAATCTTTAAACTTTCGTGGTGGTTTTATTTTCATAGTTTTTATAGTGACCATGCATTCATAATACATGTATTTGATTTTATGACTACTATACTACAGAATTGTTTAAAACTTTTATGTAAATGAAAACTGCTATGTAGATTGCCACTTACATACAAGTACGACTAGGCCAAGTATATATCCAGCAATGATTAAAACCTTCTGTTCTACACAGACACCGTCAGAGGGGAAGCAATGGATGATAGACCTAGACGTTTCCTCCAAGCTAATCTTCATCCTGCTTCTCATTCTTACGATTGTAATTACAACGGTAAGTACCTCAGCCTCCATAGTGGACATATCTCGTAGAGGACAGTCACCATGTTTAGGTCATAATCTCTATTTCATGTGACATATCTTTCATCCATATGCATCTTGTCTGATGAAATAGGTCAGGATGGTTTGAAAGACTAACTAAGAATTTATGTGAACAATTTGAATATCTATGGTTGGTGAGCCCAAATAGACCAATCCTGACTGTCCATTACGGTTAGAATCAAATTAAAAGTGGTTGCATTTGTATGTTTTTATTTTGCATTTTCTGTGTTTTGAAGGATATGGGCAGGGCCATGGGGTCGGTCTGTTGTGTCCAAGCTACTGTTGAAAAGACTAAGATTCAAGGATACAGTTTAAATACCAGAAGTCATTGGGGAACAGTTTCAAGACTTAACACAGTAGACCTGGAGTGACTCTAACCTTCTGTTTTTGTCCTTCCAGATTGTTTATCTACTTGCTGTAGCTGCCTTCCAATTGAGACACAGAAGAGCAGGTATGGAGAATATTATCCTGTCAACACGTTTTGGTTGGTTATCTAAGCACTGAAGTGCCCTGTGACTACATTTTTGGGTGATGATTGTAAGGACATTGATGATTAAGTAACCGTTGTTGTTCTGGCAGGAATGCGAGGCAGGAGAGAGTATGAGGATGAGCGCAGTGTGAGGAGGAGAGCTGCTCTCTACCTGATCGTCTTCTGCTTCTGCTGGTTACCAAGTAAGTATCAAACTCTCCCTACCCCTCCATTCTTATAACTTCCTGATGGGGACATGCAACTCTCTGTTCTCACACCCCTACATTCTGACATGCTGTGAGGGTTAGGGTTGTAGGAACATAGGTTGAGTGTTGGAAACATAGGGGTGTTGGAACATAGAGTGTAACCCTTTGGTTTGAGAGTTTTCTTCTACATACATTAATTCAATGAATGATAATATTAAACATTCTGTATCACAGTTATTGTATTTGTCCACTACAATTCTTTGCAATAATACATGATGATCTGAACCACACAGAACTCTGTCTAATAAAGCTTTATACTCTACATAGAAAAACTTATTGTGATGTTTTTCTCCACCTGTACAGCTCTAGTGCTTGGCATCCTGTCCCTGTGTGATGGCTTTGTGATGAAGAAATACTATGTTCTCTACATTATGCAGGTAAGACAAAGTCATGTTTATTGGTTGCTAGATCTTGAGGAAGTTGGACCATACTAGTCCTTGTGTTCTTTAAAAGAATTGAAATGAACCTTCTTGAAATAATATCCCAGACCTTAAAATTTTCATGGTTGCACTGTTTGAGGAATGCTGTTCAATATTTTAGTGGTTGTGATTTCAAGCCCAACACAATAATTGAGAAGAGTCAGGGTGACACAGTGTTTCAGATGAGATCTGTACATTACAGGTTCAATGCCTTCTCTCCTGTAATTTACTGATCAATGACCTGAACTTTTATTTCTGTTCTCTGGACAGGCATGCACTGCCCCCTTGCAGGGCTTCCTGAACTGCATTGTCTACGGCTGGAGAAGAAGGGAGTTCAGAACAGTAAAACCTTTACCTGTGGCCGTGCTAGCTGAGCAGTCTGGCCTGCTGGACAGAAACAGGAACAACTATCGAACATTTGCCACAACTTCAGCATAACATATGGTAAAGGGCAGTAGGGGTTCAGATCTTTCTTTAACGCACAATTATAATGGTTTGGAATAGTATACAAAAATTTATTATTCCCTAGATGTTACCTACTTTGTTCACATTTCTGAATGCTAAAAAGACTTTTTATTATGTTGGTGGGATGACATCACAGAAATATATCTGTTACTGTCCCTCTGGTAGATTGCTGTACAGTAAACATGGTTTGTTGTCCTGTTCAAGAGGTGTTGCACAAATAACTTTATTGCTCAACACTTGCATCATATTATAGCTCTGGTGATAGCAGTCCTGAAGCAGTTAAATGGTTAAAATGTGAAACAAAGAAACAAAAAGGTATTTGTGGTGAATATGGGATAAATATTTAAGTAGTTACATAGATGTTAGAACTTTAGAAGTAGGAACAGTGGTGGTTGTTACTACATGTATGGTCAATCATAGCAGCATCTGCACAAGGTGTGGTGAAATGCATGACATTAAAGACACCAAATTTGTGTATTACCAAATGTGAAATACTAAGTTTTTAAACTGTACAAGTTTATAATATATGTATATACTAAATGTGATATAGAAACATTTTAAAACTGTAGTACCGGTAAAATGACCTAGAAAAATTTATGAGATCTTATGATCAAAATGATGTGTAATAACAAGACCTAAGGTGGGGTTGTGTTGTGCAATACAGACATGTGTGTTCAAAAGTTGTAAAATTTTAGTTGTTCTTTAAAATACATCTTCTTAACAAAGCAGAACACTGTGCTTCTCATCATGGAGTGGAGAAAAAAAATGTACTGAAATTTATGTCTTTATAAATAAAAAGAATGTGTAAAATCTACATTGAGATTTTAGATGACATGTAAGACCGAAGGAGAGGTAAATGTGTAGTGCAATACTGAAACTGTAGGTTATGATGTGTGATTGTTATGGTGTTTGAAAGTTGTGTGTACTTTGATGTTGAACAAAAAGCAGAACATTGTGCCTCTCACCATGGGGGTGGAGGAAAATGTTAGTATATACTAGTAAATTAAAGCATTAAATGTTTAATTATAGCTATATAATATTGAATGTATAAAATCTACATGTACATTGAGAGTGAAATATATACTTGTGAAAATACCCCAGTGTGTTGTTTGGTCATTTGTTTTAGTAGGATCAGATCATTTTAGAATGACAGAATTTCTTGGCTGCAGATGGTATGATCAGCACCATGGCCAGTGTCAGTGGGATCCTCAACAACTATCAATAATAATGACGGCTACATAAGAATTCCATGATAAATTCGATGTTTCACTATGTATAGGGCATCTACTGGGAGGTAACTCATGTACCCTACCCGGTATTTTGTCAGCTGTGAGGTAACTTACATGTACATGTACTTGTTGCTAATCCTAGCCACTACCAGATGTCACACGCAGCTGTGAATTTGAAATTGTGTCCTACAAGAAGCTACGAAATGAGCCAATACTAAGTATACGCTGTAAATTAAAAAAATTACTTGTAGCATGAAGTTCACACAACTCACAAAAAGATCATTCCAGCTTTATTGAATGAACAGTTGACCCTGGATTATATCTGACATTGTCTGCTATCATGGCTTGGGTACTTTTCAGTAAAAGTATAGTTCTTACAATTCTGATCCCCTTTAAAATGACTCTTTGTAGAATAGTTTACATGTAGGATTGCCTGACTTAATATATATTATGTACACTAAAATCACAAGCACATGTCCCTAAACCTGCAACAATCTCACCTTTATCATTACATACATATATACAACATAACTTATACTAGAATTATCAACATTTATAACACCTACCCAAACCCAAATCTTACTTGAATGTAACGTTATCCCCAAAAAATGATTTCCAATGAACATGATTTGAAATATTTTTGAGTAATGCAATGGAAAGTGTATGTATTGTAACAACATCAGATTCTGTGTATTATACGTACCATATTTTTGTCTTTCCAATTGACTTATGGCTACACAGCACATTGCCCGGAATGTTGCACAGTATTTACAATAAATTACTTCCTAATATTACATTCTTATCGGTTGTTGTAGCCAGATAATTTAAGCGCAACAACTAACAGCAAACCGACTAATTTGCGCCATACGTGTCTCCTTACCACTGTACCAAGATCTAAGACTTGGGACATAGAATATAACATTTTTGATCATGCTCAATGTTTAAAATGCACATTTCCTTAATATTGGCACTTTGGTGTCAGATTGCTTAGACATATACAGCTAGACAGTGTGATACAGCTAGACTTATGCATCTAGGTTGCCTGGGTTGCTCTCCAATTTGTAATAGGGCTCCTTCCACTTGCTCCCATGCTAGCTACAAGTAGTTTTGTACATGACTAGAGTGTAGGTTGCACAATTGGATCCTAGTGTCCACCCCTAGGCTATTGTTTTACTCAAACACACTGATTATACCTCAATGGTTCCACCTCATCTAGAAGTTCCTTGTGCAGTATTCTTGTGACTCACTAGGTGGCGCACATATCCAAAGCAAAATGAAGCCAAGTAGCACGTCAGCAGAATACACTACGCCTGCACAAAACCAGGACTTCTCAGTTTTCGTTAGATGTTTACTCAATATTGCATCAGAATTTTGCCTGTTGCAGACATCTTTCCTGATGAAGACGAGATGTCATTCTTAAACACGCAAATATGACCTTAAACAAGAGTTTTGCGCAGGCCCGGTACATTCTGCCAACATGCCAAGCAAACTACTGTGAGTCACAGATCCCCACACACTGAGCAGACAACATTGTTTTGTCTTCACTATGTTCTGGGCATGCATACTACTGCTCCTATCAGCATAGTATTAGCTACTAGTTTTATGTCTCCGATGCCACAGGTCCATAAAATTAGACATGGACCCACTTGGCAAAGACTGCAGAGGACTGATTTATGTAGCATTCATCATGCAAAAATATGTTCAATATAGCCTGGATACAATCCACAAGGCTCCTTGCACTCGCTAACCCCAGGTACAAAATGGATGGCTCCCAGACTTCAATACTTATAGCTTCACAACATTTTTTCTGGGGAGAATCCGAACCTCAATGGCTAACCAATTTTCATTTTAGTTAAAACTTTCCTAAAGGTAAATGATTGGAACAACCTCTCTCACACAAGAACAATTTGTAGATTATTGTGCTTTTTTCCCCACAACTGACAACAGTATGGCAACTGAGATATTGTCATCATGTTGAATATTAACATGTGATTACTATTATATGGCCCTTTGCCATTGCTATTTTGTACCTCTGGATTATGTACTGACCAATATCTGTGTGCAGTGTGCACACAATTAGAACTGCTGTAGAGGACTATTTTTCCTTGTCAGCTATTTTTCTGCATAAAACAGACATACAGGGATTGACACATGATTAGTGGTGAAGAGACTCTGACTACTTAACAACAGGTACTTATGCTTCTAACACATGCAGACCAGTAGTAGTAAGATGTTGGTTAGTAGGGCGGTTTAGCACTGGTTAGGTCCGCTGCCGTTACTTGATGCAGATTTCTGTAGTTGTGCCTTTAAGTACTCGGCGAACAGAGTCCGTGCCTTGTTCAGCACCTTGTTGACGTTGTGCTTGCGCACGTGCTTGTCGAAGTGCATGGCGATGTCGTTGTAGTCCATCTGTTCCCGCATTATGATGTCCTGGTGCTGCAGCAGGATGGTCAGACACAGGAACAGCATGAACGGATTCCCGTAACCAAACTTGTCCGGCGGGGGCAGCGACGACATGGACAGGCCGTTCAGCTGTTTCTTGAAGACCATCGGGCTGCGGGCGGGGCTGGGCAGTTCTCCGTTAGGTATGGCTGCTTTAGGCCCATTGGGAACGAGTGCGCTCTTACCATTGTTATGTGTAGAGGACGAGCCACCGTGGGTAATCTGTTGTGTTGTTCTGTTCGTGGGTTTGGGCTCGGCGTCCTTCGATGGCAAGCGGCTTCCCCGTCCGTCCACCATGCTGTTGTGGTTTCCGTCTTCCTTGTCCGAGTTGGACGACGTCCTCCGTCGGCTTTTCCTGTTGGGCACCCTGTGCTCGCGAGACTTGGGGCTGATGCTCTGATTGGACGAGCTGGACGACCTGCGACCCTTCTGCCGCCTGTCGGCCTCGTTGTAGGGGTACCTGGGTATGGAGAGGTTGGCCATGATCGCGACGTTGTCGATGAGCTCCAGGTCCTTCTGTGGCGGGCTGGGCGGCAGGGAGCTCCACATCACCTCCAGCATCCTCAGGGCGTCGTAGTAGGCAAACTCCCGCTTCAGCTCCAGCAGCATCCAGCGGTAGCAGAAGAACAGATCCTCTGCCTGCTGCTTGTAAAGATATTCTGTGAACTCTGGGGCGACGCAGTGCATGAGCTCTGTCAGGTGCTGGAACTTGTGCGTCATGGCTTCCCCGTCCAGCATGAAGTTGGGCTTGATGCGGTTCATCAGTGCGCAGAAGCAGACGTAGGCCTGCGCCTCGTCCCGCATGGTCACCAGGAGCGGCGAGGCGAAGTCGCTCATGCCCTGGCAGTACGAGACGTCGGGGTGGGTCAGGGCAAACGTGGTCAGGATGTTGGAGAGAGCTGTGATGTTGGGGTGTTCATCCGGCACGGCGAAGAAGTCCAGCGTGCGGTCAGTTCTCAGCACGTCCTTTTTGACCATGTTTTTCACAAACTGCGCCTCCTCTGTGTCCTGGGCCAAGAACTTAGCCTTCAGCTTGAGGTACTCGTTTGCTTTCCGTTTCATGTAGTCCATCCGCTCCTTCCCACCCATCCCCGCGGGGTACACGTTCAGCAGGTGTCTCCACACGACCTTCCGCAGCGCAGGATCCACCCCGCCATGGTATATTCTCAGTCTCAAGTCCTCCGGGCGAATCAACCGGCCCGCCTCATCCAGGAAGGAGTGGAACTCGGTGTCAGAGAGAGCAGGTTTCATTGGCTTCTCGTCTTCCTCCTCCTTGGTGTCGTTGAAGGAGAGGACTTGTGTCATGCGCGTGAGCGTGGTCTGGACTGAGCTGAAGAGAGAACGGCGGAGAGGCTGGGTCGAGGGTTTCTGTCGGTTGTTTGGAGCATTGGGAACCACAGGGTGGGGTACGGGCTCTGGGGTGTCCTTGGATGATATGATGTCCCAGTCATCAAGGGCTGGAAAACAAGAAAGTAACCAGTGGATACGTAAGCTGTCACACTACTGTACTACTCAAAACTATTGTTCCCATCACAACTACAACTGTCAGTGAAAGGTGTTTGTGCCAAATATCAGTGGACGTGACTTCTTAACTCCTTCCTTCATCATTGGTGGAATCTTAAATGTGACCATTACCAATTGTTTAAATATAGGACAGACAGTAGTGATGTTCACCCAAACAGATCTCAACAAACATCTCACAGTACCACTAATGGCTACCACTAATTTCTCCCACTCGCAGAACCTTCATAACAGCTGATCCTAACTGTCAATTGCAATTTGTGCTGCAGTTTGACCAATGAGAGAAAAGCAATTATCAGTTCAACCAATGGGAGAGACTGCATGTCTGTCTAATATTTTCATTTTTTTATTTCTATTCTTTAAAGCGGTTAGATTTTAAACATTTTAGACATTCTCAACTCTTGTGGTTTAACTTTCAGAAGAGCAATTTACTGTGCAGAAATATCAGTGTTGTTTAGTGTCTTTGGTTAATTTTTTTATTGAAGGTTAAAAGATAAAATGTACTAATTCGTGAATGCTAAAACCTACATACTACAGACTAGCTGTACTGTGTCATCCAAGAAGTGAGAAAACAAAGTTTATTTTATTTTATTAGTATGTTTTATTACACGACACTGCAAACTTTACAGATATTTCCTGATAGCCATATGTATACAGCCACGAATTATCTGCATACATTACTATATAATTGAGTAAAAACAAGTTGAGTTTTGTTAGTTATGGCTAGTCTAGAAATGATTGAAACCTCTACCCCTCCACCAAAACCACCTTCAGGAGGGATTTTCCGGTTTTTCTACCTTTGTGCCCCGTGAACTCAACAATGGATGGTTTGGACTTGGGCATCAAGGAAAACCTTCGCTTCAGCTTCACTTTCATGTTATTGGGCATCGGGCCTGTCAGGGAAAATGATGGTGTGTGTGGTTACAGCAGGAAGCTTCATGCACAAAAAAAATTATCAAACATAAAGCAGGAGGGATGCCTGGGTTGTAGTTGTAGTGAGGTAAAATTTGCATGGTAATATCAGAGTTGAAGCAAATGTTTGTAAAAAATATTAAACACCCAAATTACCCATGCTAAAATCATTGTAGTTGATAAACTTGGTATTTCCTTCATGCAGAAGCATTTCTGAGTGAAAATTCTTCAGCAAAGCATGGCAAAAAACCAACATTCCTTACAAGTTACAGCACAAATTAGCTGAAGCAACTTCTTGTCAGATTTATAGGATATCTTAGGATTGTTTCAAGTTCGTGAAGAGACTATCAAATGGGGTCGACTGTAGCCAAGTCTCAGATGTTCTAACCTTTATCTGATTTGATCAGCCTTAGCTTCTGTGCAAATGCTGTGTAGACATAATAAAAGATTCAGAGGCCCCTCTGGCTTAAATCTAACCCTCTAGCATTTCTTGGAGAGGTGCCATCACTTGATTAGCCCTTCCTTTATTTGCCACATTACTTTTTATTACATACACTGTACTGTAAATTCAGTTACTTTCACTGTGGTTTTGTTTTGCGTGAGTAAGGTAAAAACAGAGGTTGAAGTAATCTGTATTATAATAGTAATACATGATTAGGAAATGCATAATTCATGGTGGAGAGGTCACCATAAAAATAGGACCACTGTGAAAGTTTCAAGATTTATAGTACCAGTATTACTAGAAAGGAAATGCTTGCAAAGCAAAGGCATCATGTTAACCTTCACATGGTCTAGCCTAACTGCTGCTTAACTACTGCTCTGTTTATTCTTACTGAAACACATTCATATACTAGCATATGGTGACCAGCCACTACAACTTGCTACATAATGTAACCCTACTCCACAGGGTGTCTACTACAGCATCAGTTACCGTGGTGGCAGACATCTGGTCCAGGTCATTGACCTTATGTGTTTGGAGAGGAAGAAGAAGAAGAAACTGTGCAAAAAAAATATGTTTTCCTCCGGTGCAGGTAAACAAAAATTATAGATGAGTTCTTGTCCTCACCATCCTCGAACGGGCGAGCGTCGACCCTGAGGCGGAGGTATGGGTGCGAGGAGGAGATAAACGCGGCGTCCAGGTCCCAGTCCGACAGCAGCGACAGCCACACCTCCTGCCCCTCCGAGTCATGGGATAGGTAGCTGATGGTAAAGTCACTGCAGAAAACACACACAACAGAACTGGTCAACTTTTCATATTTATTCATCACATTTATATCAAGTACATTTGTGAAGGTTACTCCTCCATGAATGTAATACTTATAAAATCTTGATTCAACTTTGTACTTCCTGTAACAGCCCTTATTCCTCATGTCAGCCTGGCTATTTGAGTCAACTGTTTCCAACGAAATCCAATTTGGAACGATCTAATGATGTTTGCTAAGTTAATTCTCATCCTGACCATCTGCCTGGGATTGCAGCAAAATGTTCCTTCTCTGTGAGGTTTTCACAGTTTTCAAATTCACATTCAAGGTTGAAACAATGCTGTATTAGTACTGTCACAATGTCAGTTGTATTACATTGCATATTTGTGGTGTCATAAATTTTTCACCGTGAAAATAAAGCCATTCAAGATCAACACTAACCCTACGTATTACTAACAATTATAATGCACAAAATTCCATACTTTAATAGGGAAATACAATTCTACAGCCGGAGATGACTGTTTGCCATAAGGATGGGTTAATCATGAAATCAATTGTCTGATAATACCCTTTCAGACCCTCAGTGTGGGCGGGGAGGGGGTAGCGTGACTGATGATGCCTAGCCTATATACAGATCATCACGGAGAAAGGATTTTCACTCATCCTAATTGCTATAAAGGGATTGAAGGGATACTGGTATCTGAAATAGGGGCAGGCCAGGGATTTTACCATTTCAAGATAGTTATTACTGAACAGCACGTTGGCAGAATGTGTACTGTACATGGCCCTTTTTAATTGCTCCTTATTTTGCCCAAAGTTAGGAAGAAACTAAAGATGTAATGGTTACAGGATACTGGTAAGTCCACAGAGGAATAACAAACAAATTAAACCACCAGCATAATGTAAATTCCTATATTTTTTTTGGACAAAATTTCATGTTAGGGGAAAAGGAGGCCAGGGTTTTATGGTGTTCTAAGTTTGCATTCAAAACATTCAAATTCAACTTACCATTAGTACCCTCCATACAAAACACAAATTCATAGTGACATGTTTCACTGTAAGAGTTCACAGAAACAGAGAAAGTTTTAGTAGTAAAACCCTGCAAACATATATCAGGATTTACAGTAACTTCATCTGTACCCTTACAGCCCTTCCTGATCCCGCCCTGATAGATTGTACGCCCAGTTAGTCCACGGGGGACTTCATCCAATTCTGCAGCCGTACTGCGTAGGCGTACTAACGGTCCACCGCTACACCTCACTATATCTGCCATAAAAACAGCGCGGGCAGTAAGATTGGCCCTGCCTAAACTACAGTAACTTTCCACTGTATCATTTCATGGAACATGGACAGAAGAATATTGATTTTGCAGTGATGATCCTTCTTCTGGTATTGGTAATGCTCTCCTAGAATGGTAATAACTTCACCACAGTCACAAACACATGTGTATGCAGTGCACACACATAAATATACACAACATTACAAAAGGGTGGGTCCATGATATTTTTCATGAGGCAAAGAAAAGTGCTAGGACCATATTTATCAAGCCGATGGAACTGATAGTGTTAGTCCACTTAATTTGAAATTCATGCTTATGAAGAAGGAAAGGGAGGTTTTCATGGTGTTTTAAATTTGCTGTTCTGTGGTACAGTACCAGTATTTACACACTGGAAATACCTGCGTTGTCGTGCAGTCAAACAACACAAATAAAACCTGCAAAAGTTTCAAGGTCTACTGTAACTGGGGTGTATATGTTGTTAGTAGGGAGGCCCAGTGTCCCTGTAAAACTGGTGACTTGATTTGACACAGCAACCATACAGCAAATTGGATCATTACACGCTGTATAAATCACTTCTCCTGCCATTACAGCTAAAGTACTCCTTTCCTGGATTCCCCTCGAAACTTCTTTCATATGCAAAAAAAAATGAAGGGTCACTCAGGCTTCTTTATTTCATTTCATTAAGACATAGTTGAAATACATAATCAGCTCAGGGTCTGGGCTCGAAATTCATTTTTGTGAATATCATAAAATGCACTGGCACCCAGTATTTCAAGCCCTGGCAATACTGTCTATGTATGAATTAGTAGGACAAACACTTAGTCTGATTGAATTCTTATTGATCAGAAAATGAAAACTGAGGAAACATGACATTTGCCAGACTCAGTAAGTCAGATGATGAATGGATGTGGTGATAGATGCTATCATGTTATATAAGGCTTAGGGAATTGTAGATCAACAAGTATTCTGGAAAACATGTTTTAGATGTACATCTTTGGGAATTTGGGAATAAGAAGAGAAACAAAAGAACAAGAACATTTAAAAACCACTGACACCAATCAAAACCTTTGTCAGTTTGTTCATATTTATCCAACCTGTTTTTGAGAGGCCTGTAATTGTTTTAAAGTTTGCTCGAATGTGCACTGGTTGTGAGTGTTTTACTATAAATCATTCCCTACATTACCATGTGACGAGTGTTGTAAAGACACAATAGTTTTATTTCAAGGTAGGAGGGAAAAAGGCTTTCATACCCAGAGTTTTAAATCTGTGTTTTTCACATGCACAAACAAGAGATCTAGACTGCTATTACTAGTATTAGCGTTAAGACAACTGGGTCTTTTTAAGGGTTACTACAGTACACCTGCCTAGCCTGAGGAAAAATACCTGCATTATCTCCGGATACACCAACTGAGTTTTCACAAGCACAAGAGTTTCACACAATACACACATGGAATACTAGTACAACTGCTTTGACTTCTGGATTTAAATCCCCATGCAGAAAGCCACAGTGTTCTGCACCCAGGGTACTTGGGATCTGGCTCAAGGTACTTGTTTTCATCTGACTCCTGAGTTGAATGAAGAACTATTTTTAAATTGCCTTCATTCGACTCAGTAAAAACAAGTACCGAGAGCTAGATCCTAAGTACCCTGGGTGAAAGAAAGTGAATGATCTTGAACCAGTTTAGCTCATTGTACTCTTCCACCAGTCATGACAGAGAAGACAGACGAATATTATGAACAGTATTTACAGGTTCATTGTACTGGGAAAACTCCCCTAGCTCTTTTTGACAAGCACAATGAACAGTGGACCACTGCTTAATGTCCCGTCCGAAGGACTGTGACCCTAAACAGTAGCGTGCATGTCGGGTGAGCAACATCAGCCGGGATTCGAACTCCCAACCTCTTAGTCCAGAGGCAGGATCGCTAACCACTGGACTACGCAAGCTACTAGGTGCCAGACTAGTAATATGGGGCCATTAGCCGTGTTCCTTCTGTAGCCAAGAGCACTCCGCCCGTAGATCCCAAGACACGCTCCCTGATTCCCATGCTGCTCCCTCAGGCTAATTTTTCTAGACAACCCTTGCAATATCCTTCATCCAACCAGTGTAAAAGAGATGTTAGTCACTGATATCAATGGAGGAGACAATATTTCTGTACATAAGTGTAAACATGCTCACCCATCCTTCAGGAATGTACGTCCATTATCCTGCCACTTTTCCGACATACTGGTACCGTGTTTCCTTTTTTACCACACAGGTACATTCCAAGATATAAGACTCCTTCTAGCCGGATTATCTAGCCTTGTTGAAGTACAATGATAGTATATGGCTTTTTTTCCTGTACTTGACAGATCACAATTGTGTACATGTTGACCAGCTCCACAGACTCTGCATCTATGAAGACAACTTGTTTATAATGACTGCAATTATGTAAACACTGGACAGGTCAAAGGTTAAATATTCCAAAGGGCATTGACCAGGGGCAGAGTCAGAACACTCAAACTTTCCTGGATTGGCATATCGATCAACAAAGTCAACAGATACAGATATCCTGCAAAAATCCCTGTACTATAAGATTTTATTTTAAATTCTAAGAATAACTAGTTTACAGACTAGATACCCATTATTATGAAACCTGTCCTTGGTTTTTTAGTCTGCTTGGTGTGTCAGGGACACTAACCACAGCAGTAAGACCTGTTTTTGCACTTCTGTAACTCTTGAAATATTCACGGTGGTTCAATGTTCACGATTTTATCCATCAACTCACCACAGACGTGTCTGTGTGCTAGTATTACCGATTAGGGCTGTAGTGACTTCACCCTAAAAACACAGCAAACAAAACTTTTCCATCGTACTGCGAAATTTAATTCAATTTTACAGTGTTCAATCTTCTAAGAAATCCGAATTATCTGCCATGAAAGGATGGGGTCACTGAACTTAATTTACTGGTGGTCAGTAAACACACTGAAAGCGCAGAAGGTCAAAACCATTCCATCCAAATGGTGTCATTAACCTCACGATGACACCGTTGTAAGGACGTCAGTGACCGGTTACCAACCAAGCACACTCAGGGCAAACTTGGTCAAATGCAACATTGAAGGACTTCCAAATCATATCATAGTCATACTTTCTCTGGGTAAAGCTTTCAACATTGTTGTATACCATAAACAGGACAAACATTTACTACATTACGGCAGTCACTGTGATATATTAAATATAAACATACTTTAAATATAGCCCGGATCATGAATGTAAATAATCATATATAGTCTTCAAAGTTTGTCTTAAAAGACTTACTAGAATGGTTGTAGTCACATACCACTCAAAGGACAAGCCCTAACATGACAATCCATCCATTGTTTCCTGGGTTAGGCCACACCGATTTAATTTTATGGATGACATCCTCTGAAGACCCCCAAACTAGTGCGCGCGGGCGAAAAAAATAAAAATCCGGCCAAAAATAAAAATGCTACAAAACCACAGGAATACAAACCTGGTATTGTGAATTTGGCGCATTACATAGCGACGTATACGACAGGCCGACACATGCTGGATTTTTGCGGAATATATGAATCGACACTGCTGTACGTATGTACTGAGTTCTTGAGTCTTGGAGCTTCGGTAGCCTGGCTGCCGTCAACCAGAGTTATCACCACCATGCACTACACAGGCCTAAAGCCAGGCCAGAGCTCGAGCCTCGGAATACGTGATTCTTTTTTTTTTTTTTTTGTAGATCGGGCGAAAATCAATGCGCGCGCGGATGTCATCCATAAAATTAAATCGGTGTGGCCTTATGATTGTTCAATGACAAATAAAATATATAACATATTACATGTAAATACACATACTCAAAAGCTATCATTTTTAACATAAGCTTCTTGGTGAAGTTAAACAACATCATCATCATCATCATTAGTTCTCCTCTTTACGAAGGTGCAGCAGACAAAGGTTAATCCTCAGAACTGTTTGTCATTTCTTCATGTTCATGTCCTCAGTTTCTGTTTCTCTGAGTTTCGTGACTTGTTGTGATTGGACAAAACAAGCATCTTTAGATAATAACGGTGTTCTATCTAAGAACTCACCTCTGTAGATGGAAGGCTCTCCTGAGGGTATGCCGAAGCACCTCATATGATGTAATCTGTGGGTCCACAGCAAACTTCCTGTACTCTGGCTGCATCAGACCCTCGCATTTCTGCAATACATAATTATAAATATTGTAGTATGGGAAGACCATACTTTCCAAGCAGAGATTTAGGTTTTGGTTTATCTTTACGTGATTCCATGCATTTTTATCAGGCTTTCTTTTTGCCTCCGGGGGAGGAGACATCCTTCCGCGGAAGGGCTTTGTGACAGTTTTACTTTTAGAATTTCATGTTCGCAGCGATTCCTCGCGTTTGAGTGGACGGATTCTTTTGAGACTCGGTATATGTTTTGCTATCGGGCTGCAGATGATGCACGTTCTTTTGTTTTTATTGTATATGTGTTTTCGGGCGTGAAAATGGAGCCTTTTGATGGCCCCAGAACACCCCTTGAGTGAGAAAGTGGGTCGCGACCGTCGATCTTTTGCGTGTGTCAGATATAGTCGGTCTCGTCCACAGTCGCACAGAGGGGTGACGGGTCTCAATAGTCTTAGTCTTGCGGCGCGCAACTATTGTTGTTGTGCACATACATCTTCTGTATGCGAGGCGCAACAAATGTTGTTTGGAGGGTATTTTTAGTACGCGTTCACAGGACGCGTGATCGGCAGCAACTTCCGGGTTGGTCAATGGGTCAGGGGTCAACGTACTCTTGCGCAATCTTTGTTTTGGATGTTTTCGGCGTATATTACGACTACTAACTTACAAATACCGCGGTATACGGTCTCAGACGTTCTCGGCGTGCATTTTTACTGAGGATTCAGACCTTTACTTCCCCGATTTATACGAAGAATTGGCGGAAAATGGAGGAAGTGACAATACGGATGGCTTGCTACTTCAGCCGTTATTTTTAACGTCTGATTTAACGGTTCTGGTTGTCATTCTGAGTTTCATTACGAGTTCATTGCGGCAGATTAAATAGAATTTCATAAGTTCATGGTACATGTTATGGCTGCAGATGAAAATGTTGACCTGTGTTAACACAACCAGGAACGCTAAACACATAAATTCAACACCATCAACTATACATAACAAACAACATATAGAAATATACAATAAAAAGCCCGGAGGTATAAAATCTCAGATTTTACTTGTTTGTACTGGTATCTTATGCCAGCCAACCTTCCGGTAGGTAGCAAATGGTACTACTAGTAACTGCCTGGCAAATAGATTCTGCCTGGCCAATTTGATACCGTTTTTGCAGCCACCAAAAGATCTGCTTGGAGATTACTGTTATTACCTCCATGAAATGTGTCATGGAGGTTATATTTTCAGTTGCGTTTATCTGTCCGTCCGTCCGTCCGTCCGTCCGTCTGTCTGTTGGTCAACAAGATAACTCAAGAACGCCTGGATGGATTGGTTTCATACTTGGTGTGTTGGTAGGGTGTGACAAAAACTGGAAATGATGAGATTTTGGTCCCCCTAGTGGCTTCCCTTGGTACTGCAGCGCAACTTCCCGTTTTGATATCTCGCGATCTGGACATGCTAGGGTCATGAAATTTTGATGGAAGGTAGCTCTCGTGCTTGCGAAGAAGTCATATGAGTTTGGGCCCCCTAGCGGCTTGTTCTGGAACTGCAGGGCACTTTCTGGCGAAATGTTTAAAAGCCAATAAGTCCAGACAGGAACAATATATTCTCATTATTTTTGGTGTGTAGGTAGCTGAGAGAGAGATGTACATAATTAAATGCAAATTATGCAAATGAGGACTTTATTTGCATAATTAATGAGGAAATTCTATAATTACAGTGTTTTACATTATCTCGCGATCTGGACATGCTAGGGTCATGAAATTTTGATGGAAGGTAGCTCTCGTGCTTGGGAAGAAGTCATATGAGTTTGGGCCCCCTAGCGGCTTGTTCTGGAACTGCAGGGCACTTTCTGGCGAAATGTTTAAAAGCCAATAAGTCCAGACAGGAACAACATATTTTCATTATTTTTGGTGTGTAGGTAGCTGAGAGAGAGATGTACATAATTAAATGCAAATTATGCAAATGAGGACTTTATTTGCATAATTAATGAGGAAATTCTATAATTACAGTGTTTTACATTATACTATGTAACCTATGGCAGGCGGAACTTCAACAGATACTAATTATGCAAATGATGACCTAATTTGCATAATTAATGTGAAAATTCAATGATTTCGTAATGGTGAATGATGAGAATGTCATACTTGGAACATCTGTAAGTTAATCAAAAGTTAACATACATCACGATGCATATATCATGTTAATGCAGAGGTAATTTGAACAATTAAAGAAGAAATTTACATTTACATATCAAGATCATATTTCATGGAGGTATGATATCTCGGA